TTCCCCTAACGAGTCTGCCTTTTGCTCATGCCCATAAAGGGTGATTTTTTTCCCCTATCTCAAACCCCAAGCCTGGCTCTCTGTCCCTTCTTATTGCCATAAGAGAAGGGAAAGAGAGTGACTGCGTGGTGTTTGGCTGCCAACCAGGCTCAAACCACAACAACGACCTTTAAAAATTCTGTGACACCCCTGACATGTGCCTGAAGGTGAAGGGTGCTACCAAAACAAACCCATGGGAAATCATGGGAGGAAGGCAGGCCCTATTTGACATGGATAAAAGTTTAACAAAGATACAAAAAATTGAAATATCAGAACGAACCTGTTACTCTGAAGAAAAATATCTGCATACAAGACACTTCACAGTACTACAGGTATTCTTATTTTACTGTATCTGCCAGTCTTTTAACAGAAAACACTTGTTAAGTGCCATGGTTAGACGGGTGATACTTTTTGGTTACATCTAACTAAGCCAGCAGTCAAGAAATTCAATATACCTTCTTTTAAAGGATTTTATTCTACCAAGTAGCCATCTACCATTGATCTAAAACAATTTTAATCAAGTTTCCAAAATGAGAGAAAAAAAAAAAAATCGTAAGAAACACAAATGATCAGAGTACATTGAAAGGTGGGCTCCTTAAGGATTCACATAGATGTGTTTCAATGCACTGAGACACCAGACAATTGAATACTTCATGTTACACAATCCATGTACTCAAGTGCCTTGACTGTCAACAGAAAGATAAATTGTATTCCTGGAAAAGAAGAAACAGACTCCATCATACAGTTTCAAATCCTTTAGGTTGCACCATTCAGTAATCTCTTGACTACAGAAAAATACTGAGACAAAATTGGATTAAGTTAAAAGAATTTAAATTAAACTCTTCTTGTGAAGTAAAACATTACATAAAATATTAAAAGAGTATGCAAGTCAGGAAAGATGCTCCATGACTGCATCACCCTGTGTCCCCCTTAACCTTTACACCTGTGTGATCTTTATAAGCAGAACATTACCTATTTGGGATTGTGAGATTGAGGCTCAAATCTGAAAGCCCGGATTTATGGATTTAAAATTTCAAGCGTAATATGTGCTCAAGTTGTAATCAGAGAATACAACTTCATGAAATCTCCACTTGACAATAAACAGCCTCACAGTGTAAACATTTGCACATACAATTCAGTAGGTCAGGTTTTTATCTATAATTTACTGTTGTACAGAAAGCACAGTATTTATGTGTTCACTTAGTTTAAAAAACATACTACAAGCTGTTAAATATGCTATTACTAAAAACTTTATTCCACACTGAAGAGAAATTACATAAAAAGGTTGAAGTTAAATAAAAACGGAGATAAAAAAAGGGGGCAAAAGAAGGAAATCTCTTTTCTGTGAAGCTAAACTCAATTCCACTAACTTTTCCAGATGAACATTACCCTGAAATTTTCAGATAAGCACAGGTCTGACAATAATTCTCTGCAAGAACTACAAGCTTCTGAAATTATTAGTGCAGATTTGCTATATCCATTCTGTTGGCCTAAGTTAAAAATATAGAGCAAGGCATGTTACCTGGTTTCAGGGTCATAATGTTCACAGAATGCACAACTCAGTATCTTGCTGTATGCATACACACTGGTGGACAGCACCTCTGAATCAGTTAGAATAAATTCTTGAACACTACAAATGTCAACAATGAGCACTACAAGAAACACACCATGAAGTCTCAGCAAGCTTTAAATCTTCTATAAATTCCCTTATGGTATAAATAGTCTAAATTATGAAAATAAAACTGTTTTTCCATGTAACTGGTTCCAGCACCTCATCACTGAAATAATTCAAATCGTTCACTAAGACATTAAGACATGAGCCATCCATAACATGAGCGCACTTTTTTTGTCTACAGGCTTTATCAAAATACATTGTTAAATTAACTCTAAGCAAGGAATTTTGCAAAGACTGTATTGCCATGAACTCAGAAAATAAACCAAAGTGGAAAAAAAAAAAAAAAAAAGGCAAATAGTTTTACTGAGCTAAAGTGTCAGCACTGTCAGGGTCAGGCAAAGTCAGCAAGCTTACAGCTGTTCATCTTTACCCACCATGTACTCATCAGGTCTTTGCACAGAGCAAGATCAGCAACACACTGAGTCAAGAAAGCAAGTATCTGGCCCTTGTCTTAATACTGAGCCAAACTGTCTTCAGCACAATCAAACAGGCTCCACAGGAAAAAAAAAAAAAAAAAAAAAAGAGACAGATGGGTGGCACTTTCAATCAACTGACCTTCCAAGCTGGTTTTGCACTTGAAGGCTATTTTGCATTCCAAATTGCATACTCACTGTTCCAGCTGCACAACACAAGATCAGCAATAACAAATCCTATGTTGCTGGAGTTTTCCAACACAGGGAAAGATCTTCCTTAACTTAGGATGGTTGCAAAGCTGATTTACACTAATGGAGCAACATAACACATGCTTCATGGAGCCCTAAATTGGCCCTGATGACCCAAAATATTTACCTAAAAATCCATATTTTTGTTCTGGCAGTATTCCAACATGACTGCAAACAAATAAACAAGTCACTAAGTCATAATATTAGCTACAGAAACATAAAACTGAATGGTTTTTCTTTTGCTGTATGAGTTTAGGGTTGCTTGGATTTTTTTCCAATCTGCAAATACGACAGGTGTTGCTGGCCCACCTGTGCCAGCAGAACAAACCACCTGCTGATCCCAGATGCACCTGAACAGATGATCAATTTGCCTTGTATTTGAGATTAACCTATTTTCATTCAAGGCTGGCTCTGTAAACATCACTTCTACTGTTCGTGCTCATTATGAACAGCAGCTCAAGTTTACAGTTTAAGAGAAATAGCCAATACTAGTCACACTACAGGGACAGTGTATTTTTTAGGGATACCTATGACACTGTCTGGGACTCCAAGCACATGGATGACCCACACAGGCAATCTTACAGGAATCAAGATGTAACTGCAGACCTAATCTCTTAGCAGCAGCTCCAAGAGAGACAACATTTAGAATTTAAGCTATCTCTGGACAACAAAGACATTTCAAGCAGTGTGTTCTACTGATTACCTAAACTTGCATGGTTGCTTTCAGTAAAAATTCATGTTCTTGCTAGGTTGTATAACTGTATCAGTTTAAGAAAATTGCTTATTTGAAAACCTGGCAGCCCCCCTGGCATTCACAACTGAAACAACTTGTTGAAAGTCAAGATGTGACTTTTGTAATATATTTAAGTAAATCTGTTTACAATTCCTGATGGACCCAAACTAATGACAGGCTGCTTTTCAGGACAAATGCGATCCTCAGGTTAGTTCCACACTACGAGGCTCTCTTTTTTAAGAAAAAAAAAAAAAAAAAAAAACCAAAAAAACAAAACACAAACTAAAACCTGCAAAGACTTTTACAAAAACTGCATTGACGCAGTTCACAAATCTATGGAGAACAGAGAAGTGAAAAGCACCCCTTTCAGACTGAGATTGCTGGGAAAGCAGTGGACAACATTAAAAAGCAAACACAGTCATTTTATTTTTGGGAGAAATGTCTAGATTAAGCTTGCAGAGAGTAGCTGATAGCATACAGTACTGCAGCTGCCAAAACATCAGTGAAGACAAGAGAGTGGTCTCACCCTTCTGGCAGCTGGAGAGAAGACCTCAGTGAAACATATGTTTCACTGGGATACTTACAAGCCAAATGCTAACATAAAAACCCCTGACTATAAAACAGACCCAAAGGTAAACAATTTAAAAGAAGTATCAGCATTTTATCTCTCCACAGCAACTAGGTGAAGCAAAAGTCTAGCTAAGGTGCTGGAACTATATTTTACACCTGGGAGCCTCTAATTCATCTTTTGTATCCTCCTCTGATAACCACACAGTCAGTGTCTTTCAGATCATCTGTAAACGATTTCAAGCTCTGTATCTAAACACCAGTGGCACTCTCTCACATATAACGTTTTTTTGAGGAGGCTTGCAGTTAACTATCACACAAGAAAACCCATGAAGTCGGAGTTGCCTCATTCAGAGACATTTCAGTGCGAATTTCAGAGAAATTCTATGGAAAATTACGTAAGCCCTGCAGCTCCTTCAGGGAGCTTCACTTCCTGGCGTATTTTAGCATAGTAAGGTCTACATCCTTCACAAGCAGGAGACTCAGGCTTTATAGAGCCTCTGCCTTACACTTTGGTTACACCTTTTCTATGGTTTGTAGCTCTCTAATCTAAATAAATGAAGTTCTAGTCCATACTTGCATGGAACACCTCCAAGAAAAACAGAGGAGTAACAGGAAACAGTGTCTGTGATTCAGTAGGTGTCACCGCTTCTGTTGAGCCAAAGGCACCGCGAGGCACAGATCTTCACAAAACGCCAAAAAGACCCTAATAATTCAGTTACCAGACAGTACTGCCACGCTAAGTACCACATCAGTAACTAGCACCTTTAAGTACAGCAGAAGCTGCGCTTTACTCGCACTGCAAATTCTACACGTGCAGCCTACAGACATGACCTCCCTCAAATGAAGGCGTCTTTGCATAACCTACTGACTGTCTTTCTCAAAGAGTTTTGGTTCAAGTCAGCCACTGGCAAACCCGGGCTGCGGCGCCGGTGACTACACACGTTTTCTGTAGTCACGCCAGCCAGCCAGCGTCCTACTCGCAGACTGAGTCAGCTCGACAGGACAACTCGCAGTGAGAAAAGGAGCTCCATCCGCCTCCCGGGCCGGCCCTCGGCATTCCAGCAAGCAGGAGAGAAACCGGGGGTGGAGAGGAGGAGATGAAGTGGGAGGCTTCTCCGCTACCCCCCCCCCGGGCCGGGATGGGCGCCGGTACTCGCCCGGCAGCGCTCAGAGTGGTCCGGGCAGGCAGCAGCTGCTTTGTCACCACCGGGGAGGGCCCTCGCCCCGCGGCGCCGGAGGCGGGAACCGCCGGCCCGGGCCCTCCGCTCTCCGACCGCCCCCGGGCCCTCACCGCGGCGTGGCTACCCCCGCCGCCCCTCACCTGCCGCACACTGCTGGCTTCAGAGACGGCGAACTCCTCCTTCTCTTTGGGCGTCTTCACCGTGACTTTGATGATCCGCGGCTCGGCGGCGGCGGCGCCGCCGGTGGGGGACCCCGGGGGGCTGTGACCCCCCGCCGGCCCCTCGGCGCTGCCCGACATGCCTCTCCCGGCGAGCGGCAGGGCCTGGCGTGCGGAGCGGAAACAGCCGTGGCCCGGCGGCGGCGCGCGCCGATGACGCCGCGCACCCGGGGAAGCTGCTAGAAAGGGGGGCGGGATGACCCGCCCCCCCCACACCCCCGGCCGCGCCCGCCCGCCCGCGCATGCGCCGCCAGGCCCCGCCACCGCCCCCACCCCACCCCACCCCCCCTTCGGCCCGGCGGAGAATTTAATTTTCGGCCTCAGCGGGGTTGGGGGGGGGGCGCGTCGTGACCGGCGGGGTTTTTGTGTTGGAGGGGGGGCGTGAAAAGCAAGCAAACGGGCGTGTCAGGGGAGCCAGTCAAACCTGCTGCTTTTACTTGTCACCAGCTAGAGGGTAATAAATACTAAACACGCACTGCTTTAAAAGTAGTCTTGCTGCGGAAGCGTGCCGTAGCTGGGAATCAGATTTTCCTCAAACTTGGGCCAAAAAACCTTAATCATTAGATATACCTAGTCTAACCAAATTAGGTGTTCTGCCAGTATATGAGATGAATTCAAGAGGCCTGTTCCTGTTTTGGTGTAAAATACGTGTGAGGCCTCGAATTCTAGACTCCAAAGCCCTTTCTTCCTTATTCTTAAATAAGAATTGGTGTTTCCCACTGTAGCCTGACTCATCAGATGATTTGCTGGTTTGTTCTGCTGTTGGGATAATCTCTCAGGAGCTCTATGTAAATTGTTTCAGCTGATACTAAAAAAAAAAAAAAAAAAAAAGTAATAGATCATGGTAGGCTACAACCCTCTCAAATTTGTACTAAAGGAATTTAAGACTTGCCAGGAGGTTTTAAAATGAGAATACCAAAGCCTGGCTGAAGGCGATTCCAGGTTTTGCCTGCCCTAGAGCTTTGGTTTGTTGCAGATAAAAGTAATTACAGGCATACTTAACCACTAAGCCTTTCCTTGGTCACTCTTGTTTCATTTCCACTTCAGTCACAACCAGACAAGCTACTGACTTCTGCTGCTGCAGAGCGCTTCGAGGCCTGCCAGTGTGCTACACTGTCCTGTCAACAGGCAGAGTGAGGGACATCAGGAACTAATGTTTTGCACTGCAAACAAGCCATGATTTCAAGCAGAAATCAATAAGATCAAAGTGCAAGGAGATGTTCCACATCCCAGGCTGTTCTTAGTTTATAGATGCAGTTCATGCTGACTGTATCATTACACGAGTGGAGTTTGTAGTGGAGTAGCACCACTGCTACCTGGGTATGGTTAGCAGAGATTTACAAGTTAGAGTAATAATCATTAGTGTTATTTACTGATGTATATTTGTTATGAGGGACAAGAATACTAAAAATTCATAGAAAATAACCTGAAAGATGTTGAAAGTTCTTAACTAGGCAAAGAGGAAAATTTAGCAAAGAATGGTTGTTTCTCCATCTTAATTTTGGTACAGATAACAGGGATATGGGAGCTTGTTTGCCAGTACTGGAAGCGTCCAGATAGAAAACACCCTAAACCAGGACAACATGCATATGCGTTCACAGTCAGATAGTTGAGAACACAGCTTATACACAATGCATGGAAAATGAAAATGATACAGCAAAGAATTTTTTAATTCTTAATCTTCCTTAGGGTGGTGTGGTTTTATGCACTTCTTTCTTTCTGCTAGCTTTTTCTTTTCCTTCCCACTTCCTTCCACCCATGCTTTTATTTCCCCTTTTTATAATCATCTGTGCAACTTCTCTTCATCAATTACTGATCTTAAAGAATATAATTCAGAATGTTTATTAAAGAGAGCACCTTATTTTTTATGCTACTCCATTTTCCTAACCCATGGCTATGGTGTTTACTGCAGAAACTCAGCTTAATTCCCAACTCCAACTAGACATCTTCAATGTGGTATTTTTTCCGTAGGTAGTTGATTTAAACCAATGCAAGGTTACCTAAATTGGCTTGAAACAAACAAACAAACTGAAAATGAACTTGCAGTGACCAGAGAGTATTTTGCATAAAAATTAAAATACTGGCTCGAGTTGAACCAAATTAATAATATCGGTTAAAGGTTTTGAACCAGTTTGGCTAAACTCAGTTTAAAGTTTTACCTGAAACTAGCGATGCAATTTTGAATTTAGACAAGGTCTCATGTGGTCTAATGACAGCAAAACGTACATGCAAGATCTCCAAAGTTTTTCTATAAACTATGCATAACATTCCTTATATATCTGAATATTAAAGCCAAAACATAACACAGACACCAGTGATTTATTCTTAACGTGCAAGGGAAGAGTATAGACTCCTACTTTAAAACGACCTTAAAAAGGTATTCTCTATGTTGTATCCCATTGCCTGGACAAAGGTTAGGACTCTTGTTTTAGGCACAGTTCAGGGGGTTAAGTGAGCAAAAAAACATCATGCTAAAGTGTAACTGGATATAGAGCAGTTACCTTCTGCTGTGGATACGGGTCTCACTGTGTTAGTAGAGCAAACCACAAGCATAGTGCCTTGTTAGATCTGAACCAGAGGGCAACATCCTTGTCAGCTCATCAGTAATAATAAGGAATTAAATGCTGTTGTCTGACTTTCAGTGAGGTTTGCTTTACTCTTTGGAAAATGCTAAAGGTCTTCATAAAAGTAACGTTAGATGGTAACAGAGCCCTGAGCTTCTGAACTGTGAGTGCTAGTTCTTGGCTGGAATCACACACTCAGAAGTCTAAGAAAAAGCAATCACTCCTATTATCCTGATCTGTTAACAGGTATTCTCCGATTGTACTCTTCTATCCAAGCCCTATCCCTACTTATTTATGTTAGGCTTGATTCACAAAAATCACATTTAAAGTTTTGCAGTTGTATTTAGTCATATCCATCCCAGCATTTTATTTCTCCAGCTCCACTTCAAATGTATCCTGTGCTTTGGTCTTTCCAACAACCTCTTGGTTTCCCTAACCTCTGCTTTGTAGAGCTTTTCATTTCTTTGGGCAAAGGCACCACAGTTCCCCTCATTTCAGTTTCTTTTTCCCCCCAAATGCATTAGTATTCCTAATTTCATCATGGGAAACTTGAATCTGTAGCTGTATTGTTTTAGCGGCCTACTTTAAAGGTAGTACAGAACCTGTGCAGTCTAAACTCTTAATATTCTATAAATAGGAGCCTTTTTTTCTTCTTTCTCTTTATTCTTTCTCACCTCACCTTTGTTTATGAGATTCTGATGACTTTATTTTTTTAAAGGAACTTTATTTTGAAGTGTTTATTATGTTGCTACATACACAATTTACATCTTATTTCAAAGTAATTAGGACAGATACAGGATACTTTTGAGGATTTGTACAGGAAATCAGAAGAATGACAGAACGGGCTATTGCCAAGTCTAAAATGACTAAAATTACAGGAAAGTAATAGAAAGACAGTTGCTGAACTTGCGGAAGCAAGCAGACTGGGAGCATCCCTGAAACAGGCTGCAACAGCTATATAAAAGGCTTTGTCTTTATGAACATCCAGTTATTCCAAATGTAAATGGAACTAAATATGAAAATATACTTTTTTTTTCTTTTCCAAGAGTCACATAAAAATTCATGAGTAAGAGCAACATAGTGGAGAACAAGTCAGCTGACAGAAGAATTTCTGTGTAATTCATTCTGGGTGGGCTAATACACCAAGTGGTGAATAGGGAAAGGAGCTGTGTTGAATAATGAGAACTGTATTCAGCACTGCCCAAGTTAGAAATGTGTGTCTATTTCTTTAGCACTTAAAACAGAATGAGCTTTTTATGAGGACATGCACTTTTAGAATAAAACTTATGTTTCATTTTAATAGAATTCCCTCTGTTGTTAATCAGCAAGGATTATACAAACTAATTTATGTTAAAATCAATAGCACAAGAAAATACAGGCTAGTTCGGGGGGGGGGGGGGCGGGGGCTTTTACTGACAGCCCTGGGGGGAAAAAAACAACAAAAAAACCCAAAACAAAACAACAACAAAAAACCCTATATCAAATTAAAACTTAGAGGAAAACATTTATAGGATAGCAGGTAGTCAGTCTTTTCCATTTTGGCTTCTAGACAGATGAAGAAATAGAACCTGAATTCTCTCTAAATATAAATTAGCAATTTAGTAACATTTTGAAACAGACTGATTAGATTTGGGGAAAATATATATATTGTGGATTTCCTAATTCAAAATTGTTTACAAATACAAACATGTTGGAAAAGAAGTCACACCTTGAAGTTACAGGCACCACTGATTTGATTAGAAAGAAAGTCACGGTCTTGTTCTGGTAAATATTGCCTATGGGGCAGCAGATAATGAAAAAAACATACCATCTCCTCAAATAAAGAGGTTTTAGTTTGAATCAAACTAGTAACAAGGCTAATTACATTGTTCTGCACAATAATGTTTTATGTGTTAGGATAAGATGGATAAAATGCTCAGTTATGCATGGTCACAGGGTGCACAGTTCTGAAAAAGTGGTAGCGGTCCCATCCCAAAGATGTGGTATTTGGAAATTATTTTCAGAGTTGGCCAGAACAAAAAAAAAAAAAAAAAAAAGAAAAAAAAACAGGATAAAAGGTAGGATAAATAAATCAGTGAAGCTACACTAAGACTTCCAGTATTATTATGAAATTTGAATAATTATGAACTGTTAGCTATAATGTCTAGTCTCTTACAAAAATCTTATTTCACTGTTAGCATCTTCATGGTATTAGTTTTCATAAGTCTCTGTTAACTGGAAAAGTTTTACAGATTCATAGTACCTTTATTGACTTAAAGACTTTTGTCCCACTTTCCTCACCTGCCTCCCAGTGAAGTGCTGTCTTCACACATACTTTGCTTTGGAAATTGCTTGGTCCTATAGTGTGTTCAAAAAAAGACTCTGTTAGAAATCTTCTATTCTAAAAGATCACCTAGTTCCAACCCCCCTGCCACAGGCAGGGATACCTTCCCCCAGCCCGGGTTGCTCAAAGCCCCGTCCAACCTGGCCTTGAACCCTTCCAGGGAGGGGGCAGCCACAGCTGCTCTGGGCAACCTGTGCCAGGGTCTCATCACCCTCACAGGAAAGAATTTCTTCCATCTAACCTAAGTCTTCCCTCTTTCAGTTCAAAACCATTACCGCTCATCCTATCACTGCAGTCCCTGATAACGAGTCCCTCCCCATCTTTCCTGCAGACTGGAAGGCCACAATAAGCTCTCCCCGCAGCCTGCGTTACTCCAGGCTGAACCACCCCAGCTCTCTCAGCCTGCCCTCACAGGAAGAAGTGCTCCAGCCCCCCGATCACCTTTGTGGCCTCCTCTGGATCTGCACGAGCAGGTCCATGTCCTTCTGATGTTGGGGGCCCCAGAGCTGGACACAGCACTGCAGGTTGGGGTCTCAAGAGAGCAGAGTAGAGGGGCAGAATCCCCTCCCTCGACCTGCTGGCCACGCTTCTCTTGGTGCAGCCCAGGACACGGTTGGCTTTCTGGGCTGCGAGTGCATGCTGCTGGCTCGTGCCCAGCCTTTCATGTCCCAGGATCCCCAAGTGCTTCTCCGCAGGGCTGCTCTCACTCCCTTTATCCCCCAGCCTGTACTGATACTGGGGATTGCCTCAACCCAGTTGCAGGACCTTGCACTTGGCTTTGCTGAACCTCACTATGTCTTCTGCAGGGACAGGGACTGTTGACTTCTTTTTTTAAAAAAAACAAGATCGGGATTCAGCAACAGGAAGATGTTTCTGCATGAGCTGTCTCATTTTCAGTTTTGACTTGGTGAAACTTTGATCATTTGCATACTAATGCATTTAGATCTTGATAGTCATTAAATGAAGTCATCTTAATTGAGAAATTCTGTGAAAGCAAGAATTCAAACATAAAAATGGAAGAGTAAATTTTATTGAATGATGAAAAACTAATGGCATTAACAGTTAGTTTCAGCTCTGCTGCAATACTAATTTTCTAATTTTTCCATAGCAGAAAGTGCAACAAATCAATTACTCAGACTGTTAAACAAACTAGTAATTATTAGTTTCTCTTCAAAAACTGCATAGTTGAGCAGTTGTGCAACAAATATATAAATTTCTGCAAAACCCTGAAGAAAGAGTTGATGTTTTTTTTTGCTTTGAATCTGGTGGCAGAGGAGATCACCTGCACTGGTCAGATTCTGAGTGCCTTTTCCCTTTTTTTCCACTCTGTAAGAGAGAATTAAAACAAATGTTTAGTTAATATACCAGACATGGCAATTTTTACCTGCAGTTATTTTGTATATTGAAGTAATACAGATTAGCAAGAAAAACCTCAAGAGTTAAGGTGTATACTTCTGTTAAATTATACAACCATTATGAGTTGCAAACTTGTCTGAACACAAAATACTGTTATATAAATTAAAACAGCGAAGGCACTTACAGGATACATAACAGATGTTAACATCTAGGGATAAAACCACTCTGCTTTATTGCTTTTTTGTTTTGTTTTGGTTTTTTTTTGTTGTTTGTTTGTTTTTAATCCACAGATTTTGGTTACTTTTTTGAAAGGCATCCTTATGTTTCAGAGCAGCATTCCATAAAAAAAGTGGGCCTTGTTATCAAAGACAACACTACAAAAAGTAGTAATGTGAGAAGGGTTTTAAGTCAGAACAGTCATGTAAATGACTAAATTTGACAAGATATTTACTTTAGTTTCAATTAGTGGTATGTGTGCTCAGCGTCTCTGTAAGGGACTGAACAAGCATATACATTTGTCAACTGCTGCAAGATGATTTTAAGAAGGAAGTTGCTCACTGAAAGTAAAGTGACAAGGGATAAAAGACAGAGACAAGAGATTACATAGAGAACCCCACGTAATGCTAGCCAAAGATTCTGATGTAATCAGAAAAGATCTTTTGCTTCACAAAGAGTAACTGTGGCTTAATGAGCCAGTTTTCACAAAATGATAGTATTCCAACACAAACAATGTGTTGCAACTTGAAATAGGATTGCTTGCCAAAGACAATAAGGCTACCTTAGAAGTTTCCATTAATGCTACAGGCTCTCCTTGTAACCTATGCAAAAGGTCACAGTCAAACCAAACAAACGAAAAACCTACCAAAACCAACAAAAACACAACCCAAAATGTGTCAAGTCATGCATAAGTACAAATCTTTATTTGCAAATACTGTCACTCTTCAAAAAAAGTCAGAATGTTAAGCAGCACACTATTTATGCAAAAGTTAATTGAAATTCACTAGCATGAGTTGCATTAGCAGCCAAGTTGAACAAAACAGCATATGCAGTCAGCAAGACGCTGATCTTATCAGTCATATTTTGACACAACTTGCTGTGAATCTGCTACAAAGATTTGGCTAGAGACAGAACCAAAGAAAGAATGTGGCAAAATAACCCGTGAACTCCAGAGTTAGTCCAGTTACACACAGTTAGACTCAGAGAATCCAACTTGTTTCCAGAATATGTTTATTGACTAGCATACTTCAAGAAGTTTTAAAGTACCAAACAGGTGTTAGACTTCAACTTGGCAAAACTGTGTTTTAGTTTTGCTACTGTTTTTTTCCTACAGTAGGAACCACTTTTTTTTTTTTTTTTTTTGAATTGGAAGAATTAGAGCTAATAGGTCAGTTCAGAGCACGTTACTTCATTGCAGTTGTCCCAGCTAAATCAAGAACAGGTAAAACTACAAACACAGAAAATAACTACCTGATATTTTGTTAATTCTGCCTGAAGTAGTTTCACCTTGGATCTTTCTTGCTCTAATGCCGCATGTAGCAGAGTTACCTAAAACATGCAGAATATGAATTTATAAAATATCCTTAACATTTGTGAGTTTATGAAGTCAGTGTTGTTCTCCATTGGTGTGTCAGACAAACAGGTAAATACATGCTGAGTTTGAGTGACTACCAATATCATTGTGCATGAACTGAAAGTACAAGTAAAATATTCGTTAATGACTTTTATTTCCCAAGCAACATTTACTTGTTTACCCATGTAATGATATAGAAAAGCTATAAAGTTAGAAACTCTTCCGACTTTTGGACTCTGCATTTGTTTATTCCATAAAACACTGAACTGATGCAGTATTATGCAACACAGATAAACTTATTACATCACCCTCAAAAATCTGTACTGTGTTATATGCAAGATGTTAGTACAAGGCAAGGGCTTAGAAATAATAGTTGCTGGAGACCAAAAACTAACCAAAGAAGTCTTGCATGCTCTCTACTACAGTGACTTGCCAACTGACATGTCTTAAATAATTTGTAGCTCATTTTTATTTGTAAACTTGAGACTAGAAATAAAATCTAAAAAAAAAAAAAAAAGAGAGAAGACACCACCCAGGAAAGAAGCATCTTCTGAAGCACCTTGCCAGGGATGCTGAGCTCTGCTGTCTTTCCAGAGAGAATTCTAAGTGAATCATACTGCAGATTTACATAATACATTTCCTCTGACACACATAATGCAGGACTAAAGATGAAATGTTACGGTTTTTGTTTCAAAAAAAGTTTTTGGTTTCAGCTTCCTCTCTGCCTCTATCACTGTCTTAAATAGCATCTTTGAAATATTCATGAAATTTTACATTTAGAAATCCTTGCTTACCTGTACGGTCAATTCATTTTTGATAACTTGAGATTCATCAACCTGTAGAAGTATTTCTGCTTTGTCTTTCACTAGAGAAAGATACAGCATTAGGATATTTGTAGATCTACTGGTCTTCATCTGCAATTGCACTGTGACATCGCTTTATTTCACTATTTTATTACCTCTAAATGATGCTGTCTTCACTAAAAGAACAGTAGAGGTTGTAGATCAAAATCAACCATTAGCTACCAATGACATTAGTAGCAGCTTCAGAAGTTCTGGAGAATAAACCCCAACCGTGCACTACTTAATTCACATTTAGCCCTGTGAACAGCATGGATTTTAGAGGTATCTATGGTGAACAAAGTCCATTAGAAAGCTGAATATTGCCAATGGATCAAGATTTTGGGATCATAAGTTTCACATATGAGCTCAATCTACAGAAGTACAGAGGTGCTTAAACTATTTAGCCAGTGTCTGTGAAACATTTGTGGTTAACATAAAATTCTCAGTATGAAGAAATTAAGTTTTTTTCCAAAGCTCAGTTCTGCCATGAACTTTCTTCTCACCCAAATACAGAATACTCAGTCTGTATAAAACCAAAAAATTGCTCGTTTTATAGTATGTTACGATTCCACAAAGAGAAAACCTTCAGAACTTCACCTCTTTCCTCTCAAGATGAAAAGATTTAATCTTTGCTCACACAATGGCCTGAAGTAATAAAGTTCCAAGTTAAAATTTGCAATGATCAATCATCTTCTGAACATTTGAACTATCTTAGACATAGTTTTTCTAAACAAACTTTGAAGAAAAAAATTTAACTCTCTTTTTAGCTGAAAATGTAGCCTGGAGAAGAAACTACATTCAAGAGATAAATTAAGAGACTGAAAAGCAATGGCAATTTTCTAACAAAATTGGCATGGCTAGTATCACAGACTCAACTTCATCAGGCAAGATTAGGAATATTAAAGGACAACTATGCACAAGAAATATAAAGATACTAGAATATTTACATGTATATTGTGTATATATATAAATTATTTTTTCTCAAACTTTGACAACAAATTCTGAGTCAGAAAAACTCTGAATAGTTGTGTAACAGAAGAGAATTATCACACAGTTGCATATATAATCTTGCCGTTTAGCTACCCCTATTATGTGTGTGGCAAAAGACTTGCTTAGGTGTGGAATGATGTACCAGTGGTACAAAGCACAGCTTACAAAGATGCAGGAACTGAACAGTTTCCCCAACTGTGTCTTAACAGGTTCTATGATGAAATCAGTCCAGACCAGATAGATTCTCTTTTGCTAGTGACAGCTAACTCAAAGAATCATTGTACCTAAAATGTAACTGAACGGCTTCCATTTCAAAGAATGATCTCAACATGCAACTGATTATTTCATTATATAATTGCAGAAATGCAGTACTGTGTGGTCCACCAAATGGGTAGTTCGCTGCAAATTAATGGCTTCTTAGTTCTTTATGGCTGTCGCCAAGTCAAGGTATTTTTAAAAAGGTGTGTAGGAAGTTCCTCCCATGTTTTAAAAAGAGCATTTCAGTTTCCTGATAAAACACTTACTTTCACCTTCTTGCATCATCTTCAGAAGTTGTGCATTTCTTGCTTTTACTTCTTTATACTTTGTCTGTATTAAAGAGATTGAATTATTACATGCACACCCTATTTTAAAAAAAAAAGTATTTTATAAACTAAGCATGACAGCAGAGTTTAAAATTATGATTTCTGCAGAGAATCTAATCACAGAATCACAGAATCACTTCGGTTGGAAAAGGCCTTTAAGATCATCTATACCTTAATTAAACCACAGCCAAAGTAAGGAATACACAACAGGAGACGTGGATTAATAACTGAGAATTGAGAAAAAAGAAAAAGGCAAGCACAAAGTTTAGAGTAAGTTAAAATAACGAAGTTATGTCAGTGCATTGATAGTGCAGGAACAACCACTCAGGTCTCCCTGAAATACACAGGCCTGTTGCATCATGGGCTTTGTGGTTTCTCCCCCGAAAAATTACAATTGTAATGCGCTTTCTAGATACTGAGAAAATATAAATACTTTACCATATTACTTGGTAAGTAGGACAAGACTCCACTGTTCTACAGATTATTCAGCAGTTATTGTTATTATGTTACAGTTTCTTTCCTTTTCAACTCCCTACAGTTAACTACTCAGGAACCTATTTTCAATGGTTTTTCCAATCTATCTGGTATCACCACACTTTATGTCAGTCTCTTCCTTAATTGGCCACCCATGTCAGTTCTAGACCTGTATCTAATCTGTAAACTTACTTTTCCTGTCACAAGTCTCTTCATACAGTTTGCTCTGGTATGCTCTTTGAGAAAGTTTAATTTCATACTTTTTTTTTAAATAAAAACATCTACTATCTTCCACTTCGAGTGTCACACCAGTCCTTGAGAACAATAAGTTTACATTTAAGCCAGACCTTTCATGATCACCTAAAACTGCATTAAGGTCTCTAGACAAGTTCATAAAACTAATCAGCTGTATCATCATCCACCACCTCACCAGTAACCTTATGCATCGTATGTATTCTGTCAAATGTGATCAAGTGCTGAGAGTGGTAAATATGAATGCTTTTATACTTTAAAACTTCACCTGAGCATTCCAACTTCAGTAGACAGTGAAAACAGCTGTTAACAAAGTGCATGTCTATTACTACGAGTACTTCATTGAAGCATCAGAAAACTCCCAATCTGTCAATCTACTCAGTCTACCTCAAGCAATTACTAAAAATAGTAATAATTTAAAATAATTCTATGCTGCTTTACTGTATTTTGTTACAATTCCAGTTCCTCATGGAAATTCTGCCATTTTTGCTCTAGATACTATCCAGACTAATCAGACTATGCTGAAAACAGGGAGACAGAGACATTTTCCCTAGCTACTCTGGCATATATCAATACCATGTTAATTAATGGAGCAATCTTTTTTTCCTGGTGTGTTTTAGCATACAGTGAATCTGATTTCCAATTGCATTTGTATGCAATAAGAAAAGATGTAACAAAATACAGGACTCCATTCTTGTTACACTGAAGCTTTAAAGGAACTTCTCTTAAACCTGACAAACTATTCATTGATTTCTTTAACCACTTCAAATATTGGGCTGAATCTACAAAAAATCCCAACAATATGTAGTTCTTAAATCCCAGGAAAGCTGAGTAAAATTTAAAAATAAGTAGACTGGAAAAGACCCAAAGAAGTTGAACTTCCTACTCAAAGCAGAGCTAACTTCCAAGGCAGATCAGATTGCTCAAGATCTTGCCTAGTCTGAGACTACATCTTTATTTTTTTGACCACAAAAATATCAATCTAGAAAACAAGTAATGACCGATACACCAGATGTGAAGTTTATTTCTGTATTCTTTGTCTTGATTCTTTTAATTATTATTAGATGCTTAACTTACTTACCAAGAAAGACCATTTCATGTGGTACTGAATTTGCTCTGTAAATACATAATCTGTGGCAAGTCTAAAGCATCTCTGCATTTTAATGAATACTTTAATACTTTGTTTCAAATGTATAATGATGTTAAGTTTTGCCTACTATTTGAAGGTATTATCAACTACATACCTCCCACTGAGTTATTATATTTTTCAATTGCTCAATTTCTGCATCTTTCTTCTCAAGCTCAAGCTTTAGTCGTTCCGTTTTCCCGTCTTTCAAAACACTCTCCTATAAGCAAGGAAACATCACTTCTTAATAATTTAGTCATGTGAATTCAATTCTTGGGAAAGGCGACTTACTTGCTTGTTAGAGAAGAGAATTTTTGATCCAAAGTAAGGAGGTATATGTGAATAGCTACCAAAAGGATAAGAAACACAGTAAGAAATATTGGCATTTTCTGAGGAGCAAAAATTACTTCAATCACAAGCTTTTAATGTTTAAAAAATTGAGTCATTTAAATACCTCTTCAGATAGGTAAAAATATTACAGTATTGAGGGTTTTTAAATTCTGTAAGGTTATCATGCTTGTGATCTGTGCTTTCTTCTACTCAGGTGCTCCCTTCTGATCACTGAACAAGCTTCATTAGGCAAACTTCTTCACTTCAGAAGGACTGCTGGTTTACATGCCTGGTTGTGTTCACGAGATGTGCAGTTATCTGCTTCACTGTAATCAGTGAGCTGGACTCTCCTTTTCTCTCTTTCAAGTATTCTGTGAACATCATCTTCTAGCCTGTTGAAAAATCCTCCGTCACGCAATAAAGACTGGGAAGTGTTCATTTCCTGTTAAAAATAAGTACTGTAACATATCTTCCTTTACATAGAAGTTAATATTAAGCTAGAAATCAACATGTTTTGAAAATAGCTTAAATCATGGAGGAGCATTATATCTAGGTATTGTTTTATGTTGTACATCCTGAGAATACTGGGACTTCCACCTAGACAGTATGATACCAACTGAAGAGACTGGAAATTAATTAACATTTCATATTTAGCTGATGATGAAATTACATAAAAGCATGAAGTTCTAATTTAATAATTTTGCACTATGACTACACTGATTTATCTTTTATTTTACCATTAAATATTCTTCACTCTAAGAGTTTTAATATTTGTGGAATGCACCACAACATAGTAGCATTACAATACTTCCTTATTTAAATTGCTTTTCTTTTTTCTATTACGATTCATATTTTTTAACATGCTTTTAAATCTGCAAGTTGCATCAGACTATCTGAAAACTAAAGAAGCAGGAGGTAGTTGTAAGAAAACCAGTACTAAGTTCTCAAGATACAAGAACTGCAGACATATATCTCTGTTAAGTCTGCATGTGTAAAAATTTTCCAAATGGAAATCAGTCAGTTTCAGAATGTATAATCACTACAGAAAGTGCCAAAATAATTACCTTCTAAACATAAGAGGAGTTTGGGTTTTTTTTTCTATTAAACTAGTTTGAGTAAGACTTACCTCATGTTTTTTAGCAAGGTTATCTGAAATGAATAGAAAAAAATTACATCAATAAGTCACTCAAATCTTGTACAGCTACCTATTGAAACAAGACATTTTGAAAAGTGGGAGGAAAAAGCCCATCTATTGGAGTTCTTCAACATTAACTCTTCTCTCAACATCAGAATTAAGAAAAAGTCATTACTAAAGCATTAAAAGCCAAGAGTATCAACTATGTATTGCATCAATCTCTGTATCTGCATCTTCTCCCAGATCTTTCAGATTATTTAATCAAAAGCAGCATCCCATATTCTTTGCTTCAGTTAAAGTGGAAGGCAATGTCTTTGATACAAACACTTGAGGAATTTGTTGGTTTGGGTTTTTTTTAAGTCTATTTAGACTTTTATAGCACGTATCTCACTGTATACCTGAATGCCTTCCATGCCTTCCATATGTGTGGAAAAGCTGTGCTTTCAATCTTTTTCCTCTATTCATATTATTTGGAAATAATGTGTTTAATAAATATTGTAGATTTAGATAAAAACATTCTTAAAAGAAAAACCTTATAAAACAAGTTACTTTCTTCTTTTTCTAGCATCTACCTTAATTTCTTTACCAAAATTCAGAATCTCTGCTCTATAGACACAGACTAATTTTCAACATATAAATAATGCATATAATGAGCATATATAAGTTATTTCAATATTTACTCATCTTAATAAAAGCCAGTGTCATGAAGAAAGGCAATGACTTGCTATTACCCAGAAAACAGAGAAACTCACCTGCCTGAGTGCAAACAGTAAAACAAAAAAACCCCACTTAGATTAAAAAAAAAAAAAAAAAAAAAACAACACAGCAAAACAAAACCAAACCACTTGGATTTTAAAAAAAAGTCACATTAAGAGTGTTTTGAATCCACCACCTACCCCAGTGATACTACATGAAATTATGTCTTCCTTAAACTTTTTATTTCTTCCTGATAATCTAACTAGCTCTTTATTAGATTATGAACATTTACCTTTTAGACTTGGTAGGACACACTAACTGCAACTCATTTAGTGTTTGTTTAAACACAGTATTAATGAAAAGAGACAGAAGGGCACTTTGCTGTTAGCACACACACACTGAAAATTCCAAGTAGAACAGCCCATATGGTATGATAAGGCATACCTATATTACTGTCTGACTGAAAGTCTTTCAGAGACACAGTGAGAGGTTTGTCTTTTCCTTGCTGGTTCTTTTTCTTATTCACAGACTTTGACTGAGGTGAAGTACTTTCAACGTTTTCATATTCCTAGAAGAATAAAGTCCCACTGGTATAATTTTATTCAATACCCAAATATTTTTTCCTGAAGCTTTATAAAGGAAAAAAAATAGTGATAATGTACTAAGGAGATTTTAGCCTGAACAGTAATATGAAGGCTTCTGATTGGTTTAAAGAGTGCAAGACATATCAGCAATTAAGCATTGATTCTGTTCTCTGAAATAGAGCATTGCTCTTCACTAAACAGCATATGAACTATCAGCCGAATACCTCCTCAATCACTTACACCAAATTTTATCCAGAAACTCATAAACTGATAACATAGAACAGTCAAATGCAGGAAGGCAGAGTGCTGCACAATGCAGGTTAGTACTTTCTTTAAAAAACAGAGGTCTACTCTACCTTCTTTTTACTCTCAAAATATGCTATACATTCAGTGTAAGTCAGAAAGCTATTAGTGTGCAGCAATGCTCTACCAATTGACCTTACTCTTACTGAAATCAGACAGCCCAGTACGTGATAACCATTTGAACCAGACTCCCACCTCCCCAAACATCTGAATAAACATTCTTAACAAATTATCAATGTCCCAGTTTTTAAAAAATACCTTAAATGCTACTTAATTAAATATCGTAGTTTTAATCTTATTTGATCTTAAATGTTAAATAATCTTAAGGAAAAAAATGTTATACAGAAAGCAAAGATGGAAATGGAGTGCTTTTCTTTCCATAGAAACAAGATTTGTTCAGCATACTCATGTACTGTATCTTTTGAATATACAGTATATATTTTAAATTATTTGGAGGTAATTCTCAAAAAGTCTACAAATGATCCTATGCTACTATGCCTGAAGCTTGTCTTCACTTTAAAAAGGAACTTTTAGTATGCAAGTTAAAAATTTATCCTTGGTTTTCAAGAACTATGGTACCATCCCCCTCAAAAAAATAAGGTATTGTACAGAGATACTTGCACAAAAGTGCATATGCAATTTTAACTTCTTTATGATACATAATATATTTTCATAACATTTCATTAGCTCCTGATGTATTGCAAATAATACGCAACTTCCTGCTGGAAATAAAAATTTAATTTAAGTATACTTTTTCAGAACAATTCTTCAGTGTTCCATAAGAACCACTCAGAAAACAGCATCCTTACATATACAGTTTATCAAAACTAAAATATTTACAGTCAAAACTGATAAAATGCTAGTAAAAGTGCCAATGATTCAACCATAACTAACACTTTAAGATCTAAGGAAAAGTCAGTGCTTTGATTCTCTTACTCTTCACATGCTGATTTTTTCATGAGGAAGGTCAGAATCTCTTGTTGTACTCTTAAGAAAAAAATCAGTGCATTTATATGCTAGAAAATTTTAAAAGTAAAACTAATTTTCCACCTTTACAGACAACTTAAAAAAAAAAAAAAAGGCAAGCAGCCTGATACTATGGTTTCTCTCAAATCCAGTATTTCTCTGAACTATTAATCATCCGAACAGTGTAAGCAAACAATTTACGTGACTGGTAGTTTTAGGAGGCATTTTGCTTTACTTTTAAAAATCAAGCCTCAAACTTGTACAGCTTTTATATTAGGATGAATCCTGCAAATACCTTTTTGTGTTCTTCATATTCCAGTTTGCTTAGCAGCAATGCTTTTTCAAGATCAGCTTCATACATTTCAGATGTCAGCTGAAGAAAGAAAGTTAAAGTATTTTATGTGACTAGTTGTTAAAAATAAAAAAGCAAGACAAAACCTCTAATACACTAATACCACGCTAAAGTGTCAGTTTCAATACACATATCATTGCAATTACCAAAAAGCTGTTTTACTGATGTGACATAAGGCATTATTAACAGCTAATAACCTTTTTGCACCATAAGTAGTATATTGCTTCACGAAACTTTGTGGTATATGTAAGGTACAGTAAATTGTTCACATCTTTATGTAATGCAGTTATCTTGATGATTTGTTTATTATATGAGATTTCTTTAAAAAATATTTTTTATTTTTCATCCGAAACATGAAAACCAGAGGATGTTAAAGGATGAAAACAATTACCGTAGACCATGAGAAAGTCTCGGTGCTCATTCAATTGAATAGAAAATATTAGGTTAAGCACACTTTATTTTTTTTTTTTTCATTAAAAGGAGAGCAGAACTAAGAAAACCTGAATTACTTCAAGATGTTTTCTCTTTCATTTATGAGAAATTAAGTATGTAAGTCTTCTTGGGAGATGAAAATTTGAAGCTTTCTAGGCGTGAGCTGTTAAGAAAAAGAACTAGCAGCAACACAACAGGAATGAAGGATGGGATATCTCTTTTTTTCTTGTGTTATAGGAAAATAGGAGGGTGCAGGAAAGTCCAACTCCTGCTACATAGAAGGCTCAAGGATTGAATTAAGATCAGTACCAGCAACAGTTCAGTGGAGCCAAATAAGAGATTGACCTAGAAGATATAGATGTTATAGTCAAGGTAGATAGCGGATAATCTAAATGTATAAACAGCTAATAACCTATGTTACTATTTACAGCAGTTAACCAAGATTAAGTTGTTCTGAATGCAAAACTCTGTTGCTTTTGCAAGATAAAATGTCTGGCTAGCATTTTATTGAGAATAGAGTTATATGCAACCTTTGGAATGTACAGACACAGCTGAAGGTTGGTGCTCTTCTAGGTACATGCTTTTTAAAGAAAAGGGAGTTTGAAGATAGAGAAGTAATAATTAAGACGAGGCCTGTTCTTAAAGATAGCAGGAACAAGGACAGAACAAATTGAAACAAACCAGTTTAAGACACACACAGTTGCACAAAGCCCCCCCCTTTAAGACCTTTGTGAGCATGCGTGACCACTGAGGTCAACCAATACACACAGTGGAGACTACTACGGACAACCAACAGAGACCACTCAAGACCACCAGTCAGCAAGAAAGTGCATGCATAATTATCATGCAGATATTGTAATTAGTTCCAGGAAATCTGATGCACATGTAACTTGCTTCTCAGATAATTATGAATATGTAACATTTCACTGGATATTAGTTGCTGCTGCTTATGGATGTGGGGTGCGCTCACCTTTGCGAAGCTATTCGTGTGTGTGCCCAGTGCTGCAATAAAAGAATGCCTTGCTTTCTAACTCCCACAAATTGGTCCTAGAGAGTTATTAATCCGATATTTCGGTAACATTTCGAGGCCTACTGTCTTAAGGAATCACTACAGTTCCCTGTGTGACATGCTGCCAAATGCAAGCCTTCTTCATAGCTCTCTCCTTTTCATGCCCTTAACTGAAATATTAATTAGTAAAAATAATTACTATGACCATAAATTTCTTGTTCTTTGAATTTCAAATTGAGGTCCTTTTCATTCATTCATGAATAAACTACAGTAGCTGTTAAAGTGAATAAATTACTTAAGTGGTCTTAATGTACTTTGCTCAAACTGAACTCTGTGATGTACCTTAGCTTTTTTCTCTATAGGAACCATGTTCTGAAAAAAACCAAGTTTTCATATTGTGCTTTATATATTCCAAAAAGTGATTTATTACATGTTGTAAAAGCAAACACATTCTTCCCAGTTGTTTGTTCAACAATTCACATGATCAGCCTCACTTAAGAGAAAACCAAAATGTGCTTCTAGATTTTACCACAGGAAACCTGCCCTTTTTGAGTGGTTATCTGAAACACAGTAAAATAGTGCTCTCAGCATCAACTGCTACAAGGCTGCTGCGCAGTCTTCAGGGTGCTGTCATTCCTAGCTTCGCGTCCGGCTCGTAGTGCAAGCTTAGTATTGACCGACAGCACCTCAGGGCCTCACTGGGGCGGCGGGCAGAGCCGCGGGCCGGAGCCGCCTCACAGCCCCGCAGGGCCACAGGCAGGGGCGGCGAGCGGCCTCCGCCCCAGCGTGGCCCTGGGAGTGGGGGGAATGGCGGCAAAGAGGCCCGAGGACCGTCTGTGCAGAAGCCAGGGCTGGGTTTTTTTCCTGAGTTGTTTTCTTTCAGAATCAGGATTGGTAATCAAAGGGTTGATAACGGACAGCAAATTAAATTGACTGAAATTCCCCTCAAATCAGTAAACTGGTTTTGCCCACAGCTGTTGAAAACAATCTGACGACGAGTTATCTACCAAAAACTAGGCCTTGTCACCTACTACACTGAAAAACTCAACATGAACGGGATGAAAAAGGAGAGAATGGGGATTAAAAAAAAAAAAACAGACTACCAAAAAGAAAACAACTAACACACAAAAATAAAGCGAACTCACAAGAAAGATGAACGCAGGATTTTTACTTTCGTGTGTCTGAAAGTGCTCATTTAGCACACAAGTCCCTAAATAATTATCAAGAATCAGTACTACTACAATGTTGTTTTAATTGTTAAGCAACTACACAAAAATTGCATTATGCGATCTCTAGTACATTATGTGATCTCTAGTACAACAATAACGCCGTCATAATTTACCTAACTAGCAGTCATTCAATTTGGGGTAAGACTGTTTGAAGCTGACTACACAAAGGTTGCTACTTCTAAGGGCAATCTCCACATACACAAATGTGTACCATGCACCATATCCCCCCAGTAAAAGTAAGGCAGCTTCAGTAGATGTAAATCACCCCATAGCCATGCTTTTGGCACAGTCATAGGAAGGGAAAAGGAAGAGCTTGCTTGGAGCATGAACATCCCAAATTTTATTTCAAGTCATTTAACAATTAAATGACAGAGAAGCTAGACAAGCGCCTGCCCCACCTCTTCTTAGGTTGTTTCGAGAAGACAACTGAATGGGCCATGTTTTGAGCAAGTCTGGGGAAAAACTACCCGTGGCCCTCGGTAACATATTAGTTCTGAATTCCTGTGCTCAGATCAACTAGGCAGATTATTGCTCCGCAGATTTGCCTTTTCAGACATACTCTAAAACATACGCTTTTCTTCACTCATTACTATACTCAAAGCATCTAGTCTCAAATACTTGCACTTTGTGTCTGTAATCAAATTTACCTTAAGATCACAATTCTTGAAATCAGAGTTATCCATGGGTTCTTCAATTATAGACTTATAGAACGTAACAAATAATAATTTAACGAAAGTGATACACAAACACTGTAACTCATTACTTCAAAAAAACACCACTGAATTCAGATCCTGAAATGGAACTGTTAGGACAATGTGGGCAACAAGACAAGAGAACAAGTTATTACTGAAACTGTTGGTGATCATATTAAATAGATATAATAAAGCACAGCTGTGGATATTGAAGACTCATGGCTCTTTGTGTGACACTGGCCTTTACTTCCTAATTTTTATTTCAGGGTCACAGGTCCTTTACTGCCTTTTTAGGAGGCTACTGCAAAAATCAGTGGGGACTCACAGACTTTTAATAATTCTCTTTAAAAGCCTAAAAATGCATACACCATAATTAAACTAAATTCTTCACCATTTTCACTCATGTCCTTTCTTTCCCCCCTCATGTAAGAAAAAACAAGTTCATTCAAATCCTGTCAGTGCTGTAATACATGGGCAGCATCTATAAACAGTGAAGTAACAGTTTTAAAAGGAATCTTACTGATTACACATTTTATTAAGAATATTCTAAAAAGACATTTACTCTATGCTGTATAATTTAGCTATGGCAAACATTTTGATTGTTGTTCTAAAACAGGAATCACAGGTAGCAATTTATTTTTCTACTCATCAGATTCCAACATTCACATTTAAGAGTTTCTAGGTAAAGTTAAAAGTAATTTGGGGCACGGTCTAAGACCCAATGCTTTAAACCATTTATGAACCAAAAAAGTTCACTGCAACCTCTATGGTTGCCTTAAAATCTGTAGCGTCGAAGTCATGCCAGCAACTTGAAACAAATTTTAGTTGTTTCATGTTTACAAAATATCAACACTGCAATCTAACAGTGATTATGCCAGTGTCAGCCACTTCACTAAATGCTTAGTGTAGCAAAAGAAAACACAGGATTTGTTGGAAGAATATTCATAGTCCACACTGCACCTCCATTCTTTACACTCAGTCCACTGTGACCACAGAAAAGCTGTTCAAAATGTAGCTGTGCTGCATAACTGCTTACTCTTCAACCTCAAGAACTGTGACAGCATTTGGCTATTCCTTTTTCTCGTAAAAAAAAGTGCAGAGATGTCTTTATAACTGTCGTGTTACAATTACAGTAATTACTCTATTTTTAAAATAGTACTACAGCAACTTCACAGCCTATACGTCAATTAGAATTGATGGTTTGTAACTGAGTTTACGTTGTCTGATCATTTCACCACCCAGTAATTAGACTATAAAATTCTTTATCTGAAATAATTGTTTCATACCACACAGAATTAAACAAACAAAAAACCAAACAAACCTGCAAATACTGAACAAAGCAAATTTGTACTTTAAAAAGTAATTCTGAAGTTAATTAGCTCTGGAAATTTTCAAGAGGATTATTAGGTCATTACTCCACTGCTAGGACAACCATCTAGAAGCCTGGCAAGTTAAGAACTTGGCTATACTCTGTTTAAGGAGGCACCTATACCAAATCATTAGCAACACACAAAAAAAATCAAGGACATTATCCAAATGTCAGTCTTTTCTAAATACGGCTTTCTGTATCGTGTCTTAATTAGAACAAGAAGCAGTTCCATACCATCTTTTTTGGCGAGACATAAATTGAAAATTCTCCGTAAAAGAAAGTAACATCCTAGTAGATGCCAGCATAGAAGTTCAAAAGCTTTATGAAATACTTTGATGCCAGTTGGTGTCATGTATTAGAAATTTGCATTGAAAAAGTCTGTGCAAAGTTAAACAGTATGAAGGGCATCTTCAAGTATAACAAGACAGTCCAAACTAGTATCCAAAGTGAATGAATGCATAGTAGACAATTATTTAAAAGGAATCTAGAAAAGCGTACCAAAACATTTCTTTAAGCACCATCTAAAAAAGTACACTAAAACAAATTCATTCTTTGTTCATATATGCCATTTTGGCCTAAAATAGTTGAAGTCCAGATATGAGATGTGTGAACTATACTCTAAACTGCATTTGACAAAAGATGTGGCCTGAATTTACACTGAAACATTTCCTTCTTTGTGGCAGTACTTTGTTGCTTCCTCTCCAGCCATTTCTCTTTATCCATGAAACTTAACTTCATGTAGCAACGTATTTCAGGAAAGCCAAAAACAGCTCAATACCATAACCTGTACCTGCTCATCTCTTTGTCTCCATTCCTGCCAATTTTCTTCCTGAGAGTCCTTCTGCATTGCAGTGTGCAGTTTTTGTTCATGCTGAGATAGGCAGCCTCCACGTGAGGATTTCTGAGGAATCTTTTTAAAAGCAAGGTTTCTGAGCTGAAAAACAATTATTTTTTAACATTAATCAAAATGCTGACAAGTATACAGAACAGTCTTAATGGACTTAAAGGCATTCAGACGTGCAAGCAGACATGCATGTGTTTTACCTTACTCTGTGGTTTGGGATTCATTTTTGTTTAATCATTTATGGTGCACACCATAATGTAAAATCATGAAAAACTGTGCAACAGAAACACCACAGCCATAAAACAGTGAAAGAGTCAATAAATTTTGCCAGCTGAAAATACTTTCAACAAATCTGAAGAGATAACTGCATGCAGTAGATTTCATGCTGGATCAGATATTACAGTGTGTTACCTGACCCAAATTAAATACAGTGTCAAAAAAAAGGTGGTGTACACAGATTTGGCACTGGCAAACTGAAGAACCAGAGGTTCAGGTAGAAAAAGAATAATTTATACAGTCCTTACGCTCTGTCAACATTCTAAAGTTCATCACATTTTAAGAACCTGCAATAAGAATGATTTTTAACTACTGCACCATATGGCTACAAGAGTGTCACCTTAAAAATACCTTACAAAATTATAAAATCTGATAGTGAACAAATAATCTGCAAATTTGGCAGCTCAAAGACATTCACTGCTCACAATGAAAACATTAACTGACACTCTGGTTCTTACTTGGAGTGAAAATAAAGGCACCAATACAATCTACTATCAATTTAAGAGACAGGGATTTCCTTAACATAAAGGCTCCTGGAAGGGAGAAAGCAGCTATTATCAGATGAAAGATGAAACAAAGAGAAACAAAGTACAGTAACAGCGTTCTCTATAATGTGTGTTTATCAAGTGTCATGACTCCTTCTTAAAACAGCAGTTCACCTTATCTTAAAGTTACTTAAAATCAGGTAATAATGCAGATACTTCAGAATTGTTTTCCTTGCTCTCCCAACAGTCCTTTGCCATACTCCCTTTCACTTCACTACTGTCTCTCTTGCTGCCTGCACCAGCACTACAACCACTGCTTCCTTCTTCAGATTACAGTGCTGGCAAGAACACTGGTGCAGACTATTCTGATGCATAATTTCAGTGGAGTACAGCCACGGGCATAGTACATGCTGGGGTGAAGAAAATGAGTCAGGCCTCACTTGCCTCTCTGCCATCGTAAGTACCATTTCCATGCAGATGAATTTCTGTGGATATATGCAATGCATATGCATACACACAATTGTTTTTATAGCATTAGAAGTTTTGATGGCAGACATAAAGAAACATCTTATTGAAAACTTACTCTTTAGTATAAAGAGAACAGTGTCAAAGCTGAAAAAAATCACTTTGCTTAGCATTAATTGTTAGCTTAATAGATACTAAAAGAAAAAAAGATGGGTTTGGGGTTTTTGTTTGCTTTACATACTAAATTTGATAGGAGATCTGTACAGTTTCAGGCAGAGAGATTATCTCAGATCAGTTGTCAGACACAGCAATCTACAATTCCACGTCCCAGAATTTTGGAACAATTCTTCCAGTCTCACTTCTTAATTTCCACTTCATCTGAGGTTTAAGAATCCCAATATCAGAAAATCACCACTATTCATCACTCCACCCCCCAATTCAGAAAGAGAAAAAAAAATATAAAAGGGCTCTGGATTGCATAGATTAAGGGGCTGGGTTAATGGATAAATCTGAAAATTACAATTTAGGAAAACAGATTTTAAAGCTCTTCACACAGAGTAGGTAGGTCTGACTATCTCCTGAAAAAAAACAAAAACAAACAAACAAAACAAAACCTTGAAAGCACCTTTGAATTTTGACATGCTGGCTGTCCAAGCAGGCAACTAGAACTGAATACTGCAAACCTCTCAAAACAAGTTGTTTCCTATCAATCACGTTTTAGGAAGGACATGCTCTTCATCAGAAATTAATTATTGAAGTGGTGCCAAAGCAAAACCTAGAAATTTATTCTCATTAAAAAATTTCAACTTGTACAGTAGGAAGTATCTTACTTTTATATAAAGAATTCTTAATAAAGCAAAGAAAAAAGCAGTCTTTGTGACTAAGTATCATTTGTTCCATTAAAAAAAAAAAAAAAAAAAAAAAAAAACAAAACAATGACTTGTCAGGACAGCAAAAATTATTTATCAGATCACAGCCAACCTTACCCACTACTGAAAATATAATCGCTTTACCTCATTGGCCTCAGTCTGCTGCTGTTCCTTCTTTTTTCTCCTTTTCTTTCTTTTTTTCTCATTTGTAGATGATTTTCCCCCTGAAGCCTGAGATTTACTGGCACCTCGGCCACTTCTTTTTCCAGGCTCCAATTCAGTATCACTTTCAACTTGTAGTAAAGCAAAACGAGATGCGGTGGTAGGAACTGAACCCATTACAGTAGATGCCATTGCCATATCTGAAATTCTACTGAGCTGTCTTCTTTTTATCTACTAGTTCTCCTAGGAAAGTAGCACAGAAATAAGAATTAAACCAGTGATTATCCAATCAATCATTAATTTATATCTCTTAACTGCAGGATTAGTATCAAAAAATCCTCCAAAACTCAATATTATTTCTTTATATTTTTACTAATTTGTATTATCTTAAGTATTTGAACAAGAACTACAAAAGGAAAGAATAATCTATAAAACAACAGCTATTTTAGGCTAATACATTTGTTCCCGAGGGACTATGTTTGATGGAAAAAACAAGTAGAAGGCTCTGAAAGAAGCTGGCTTCATGATCTGGAAGGGGAAAAAGGCAAACCAAAAAACCACGAACACATGAATAGTGTAGGGCTCCAAAACTGCTTCAGATGCCATTCCTGAAGCCTGACAAACATATAGTTTGAAAAAGAAAGCAAGTAGATATTACGCATATGGAGGCTACAGTTTTGGGTAAGGAGCCTTACTTCTTATCTCACAAGCTGTAACCCCTTGGTCCCAAGCCACTGGAAATTCAGCAAGCAGTGTTCCCCGCCGGGAGAAATTGCATTGCGGCCGGTACTGTTTGCAAGCTTTAGGCTCACCTGCTCTTACAGCACCACACAGAGGACGTGATGGGGGGAGGCAGAACTGGGAAACACACTCATGCCTTCGATTTCCCTCGATGTCTATCTCCCCATGATACTATTCCAAAGTAAAAATAATTTATCTAGCGAGGAAGTTAAATTTTTGTCATATTTGGCTAATTGAAATTCTTCCAGGCAAAGTTTAGTGAATTAGAAGACTGAAAGTGATGCTATTTCATCAGTGATTATAAATTTCATAGAAAACTTCTAGCTCTGTTAGAGAGGTGTAGTGAAATAATGCATACTTTTTGAAAGTGCTGTTTGAAAGGAATCCTTACAGTTTGGCAACTGTAAACATAAGTTGAATGTCTGCTTAGACTGTCTACAAATGTGTTGCTTGTTAACTACTATTAGAGAACAACATAATCTACAGAAGTTTCAAGAGATTGCTTTTATCACTAAATTCCAGACTTCCTCAAGGACAAAACTGTACAGGTGCTCTAAAGATGCTCAGACATACCAACACAGAATAATGCTATGTTACCAATGATATGTCACCATCAAGACCATTACTGAAAAGAATTATTAAAAACAAGTATTAAATTTTATTTCTCAGAGATTAAAGGAAATGAGCAAGTAAGCTAATACTGTCCTCTTTTGAGTTTACTGCAGACAAAGATCACAGTGAGCAGCACGCTTCTCATACAAAAGTTACCCTACTCTATTTCTCTCAAAAAAAAAGAAAAAATAAACTGATCATATGAAGCTCCTTGTATCCCTAGAACAAAACAAACTTGATATCAGGTTGTGAGTTTACCTGATGCTGATGTTCAGATTCTCTGATTAGACCACAGCTACGGATCTAAGAGAACCGTATCAGTCACATCTAAAACACTGTAAGTAATTAGTACTTCTTGCTCTCTTTAAATTATTAAATAATAGGGTAAGTTTGGATTTTCCTGGGTTTGTGCATATGTTTTTACATGCATTTTAATACTCAACAACTATAGTTATCCTGCTCAGGAACAGAGTTACAGCACAGAACATGTTGTGCTCTTACTACTTCAGCATTCAGTAAATTGAAACCTGTATCTCAGAGAAAAGATTAAAGATACATCTGCACAGAAAAACACCACCCAGGATAAGTGCTCGGTCATGCTATAGCATGAATTTAAAATACTGGATGGTGCTCTTGGCACTGTACCAGACTACAACAGTCTTAACACTGGAAGTTTGTAAACTTCTACTGCATTCGGCTTTAAAAAAACCCAGTAAATTAGTGCACTACAGGATGACTCTAGTCAAAAGCATGGCATTTCCAGTCTCCATTTACTGTGATATATTTGGTGCTTCATATAAATAGATAAAACAGCACAACTTAGTCTTCATTAAACTGTTGGCTGTTAACGGTGACAAATACTTCTTTTTGCCCATACAGTTTGAGAACATTTAATATTTTCAAGCTGCAGTGATAACAGCTAGATCCCTTGGAAATAAAATTTAAGAGAAAACATCAAGATACAGTTATTAGTCCCCTCTAGAACAAGAGATGAAGAAAGATGAAAAGAGGTTGGACTCAGCCATAGCAGCTGAAGCTCTACATCACCGTGAAATACGGCTGCGAACTCGTCTCCCTTTTCAACAAATACAACAGGTATACTTTTGCTGTCTGACTAGTTGGCATGCAATTAAGTGCCCAGCTGACAAGCATATTAAGCAAGTACTGCCCACGGAATTCTGCTGTTATAATTCACTGAAATACTTCAGTAACAACATGAAATTCATTTACAGAGGTGTATTCCCGAATTATATGTTTCCACAGAACAGAAAAAATGGATAGTAATGAGCTTGTAAAGGAAACTGTAAATACATGAGATAATAGATTATTTTTCAGTTAAATCTGAAAGAGCCGTTAACATGGCTAACTCAGTAGGACGTTTCAGTACAGCTGTTCATATTGCAGAAGGATCTAATCATCTCACTTCCACAACACTTAAGGACAGACCCAGTGATTCACTGAGGCCTACCACAACGACATGCTTCACATACTATTAATATCACACCTACAATTCTGACAGCTAAATTTTACTGTGTACCTAATATTTCAGTTCCGAGATTTAACTCTCCTCCCCACAGAAAATGGATGGATTAATCTCAAAAGCTTTCAGCTAAGCACAGATGCTTGCCACCCCATTTACAAGGTTGGGGTTTTTTCCCCTTTAACAGAGAACTATAATTTGTGTTGTTCTTTATTACTGTAGATATGAACAGTCTTATAAAATTAAAGCACTGACATTCCCGAGCTTGCGGTTATGCGCAGAGGCGCTTTTTGATCACACACAAAAAAGTATTCAAATACCACAAAGTGTTTTGTAATTCCACAGAGTGAGCTATGATCTGAAAAATAATTTCAACCTTTGCACTGGTTTCAGGAGTTTGGCAGTCTGAAAAATGTTATGTATTTGTAACAGTCAGTTGGCCAAAGCCTATCTAAATGCAAGATAACTCATTTCCTTATGATAGGGAGTACAGCAAAAATCTCCAAGGAGTAAAAGGAAGGAAAGCATGCTTGTGGCATCTACACGGCTCATTAATACCCCAAGTGAGAGGGCAAGTTAAAAAAAGCCCAACAAATGAACATTAGTTTCCACGCCTGTCATGCATTAGCACTAGTCATACATACCAAGAAAGTTATTAACCCTCTATTTTTATGTTAATGAAACGATCACTGATAATGGGTTTCAAAGTTGCAACTTCACCATGGCACTGATACACAGATGGCACCAATAAATGACCCAGTTTCAACACTTTCTGCTTGGCATATCACTAGCAGACTATTAGTTCAACCGTCTCTGCAATCTGTTTCAAACTGTAAAGTTTGTGAGAAGAGTTCCTATAACCAAACTGACATACTATTCAGATTGATGTATCAGCAACATACGATAAGCATGACACACCCTATAATTTCGAGGCAACATAAAAGCATTTGCTGTGTCTAGCAAGTAGTAATTTTTTTGGTGCACAATTCCCAGGTCATACTCCTCTATAAATCATGTCAGCGTACATGAACAGATTATGTTGGAATCTGATACTAAATCAACAGATTATAACAAGCTGGTCCCATTTATGAAACATGTAATGTATTACTTCGGCATGTGGTTTGTAAGCACAAAGCACTTACCCTACCTTAAACTCTGGATAAACAAGGAGGCATATGTAGGAAGTTAAATTGTGCCATGGCTGAAGAGGTGTGTTTTTAACCTCAGTTCACTGAAGTATGATAAGTATATTCAGAAAAGTAAGATCCATCAATGCCCTCAAGAGCTTCAGTCTAGTTTTAGACATGATGTAACAAAGATTGAAGTAACAAAAGTAACAGACTCATCTGGTGTTACCATAACTTGAAATTCCTTTCGTAACAGTTACTTACATTTACCTACACTTTGCAAGTGAAAGAGCTTTTGAAATACTTGAGTTTTAAAAGCTCTAGTGTAAACTGTCTAGTAAGTATACTAAGAAAAGAATTCAGCACATAGCCATAAGCATCAGCAGCGTCCTGGACTGTGTGCAGCTTTGCACATGTGCACGTGTTAGCATTTAAATGGCAGCACCTCGCAGAAATGAGCAGCACATCACAGTTCATAGGACACCTTTAAGCATCTGTGAAATAACCGCATAACTTTAAACACAGGGCTTTACTGTTTCAAGGAAAACAGGCTGAAGGGCCAAAAAATATAACCCATTTCCTATTTAACCACTTTAACTGTCAAATAAACCGCTAATAAAGGCACAGATTTTAGGAAACTTTGAAAATTGGGTATTGTCATGCTAAGCTTCTTCCCACATACAATGCGATAGTTTCTACCTCTAAAATACATATTTATGGTCATCTACAATCAATACATGTTCTTATCAAACACCTAAAGCACTGACAGACTTCAGTAATTGCTTGCAGAAAGGAAATAACACTAAAATACACAATATACACTTGCAAATGAAGGAACCCGTCTACTCCCTACTGGCAGTGATCAACTGCACCTTCTGCACCATTACATTGATCTTTGACTGTTCATGCATTTACAGCAGCAAGTTCAATCTACTTTTTCTTGTCAGTGCATTTACTGGAAGTTTTGCACAGGAGGTCCTCCCAGTTTGACAAGTTCTCTCCATTTAAATTGGGTTTTTATGCCATCTGATCAAGAGCTATAAAACTGCATTAAACTACTTTAAATCCTTAAAATTACTGAAAAGCCAACACATCAGCTTGTCTGTGAGTTTCACAAGCAACTTTACAGTCAAAAAAAAAAAACCCAAAAAGCAAAAAAATCCCACACCTGATTCAGAAACCAGTGGGAGTTGCAGCACTGGCATACACAGCAGCAATAAATCCACAGCAGGTAACGGGCCTTGCAGAGTTTGGAAGGGGAATATGGTGACTTGACTGCAGTGCTTTGGAAAAAATAATGGTTTTGAGGAAGAATGGTTTTTAAAGCACTTTTTCTCAACTCATGGTTAAAATGTGAAAGTGACCAAGCAAGCCTGACTTTGTCAGTCAGCATTCTACGCTCAGACATAAGCTCCCTTGCTTTTCTTCCTGTGATTCCCACCTCCCAGAAAAAAAAAAAAAAAGAAAAAGAAAAAAAAAAAAAAGAAAAAAGAAAAAAAAAGTTATAGGAAATTTGTTAAGCTTTCAAGTTCGAACTTTTATCCAGCAAAATTTGAAACTTCACCCCCAATTTACTGTACGCGTCTAATGCACGCAAAAGCACTACCATTCCTAGATACTACCACTACGTACTGCTAACCTTTAGATAGCAACACGCATTGGCGTCCTTAAAGCGCCAGACAGCCAGAGATCAGTAAAGGATCTGTCCAGTGACGCTCTGGCTTCTACTTACGAGCAGCGTTTTTGCTGTGCCTGAAGTTTGGTTTTCTTTTATTTTTTGGACGCTTTCACCTCTTTCCCCGCACCCCCCCCCCGCCCCCCCCCGCCCGCCGCACCGGGCCAGAAGCAGCCAGCCCTTCCTGCGCCACTGGCGACCGAAAACCGGCCGACTCGGACTCACTTTTGGGGAGAGGCGCCCGGCTTCCCGACTGGGGCAGAGACGGCGGCGGGGGGCGCGGAGGGGCGGGGGGGGGGGGAGGTTACGGACAGCGGCGGCTCCGCGCAGAGGCGCCGAAGTGACGCCGGGACAGTTCCGCGGCCGCGCGCCCCCAGCCGACCGCCCCGCGGCCGGGCACCTGCCGCCCGTCCCGCCGCGGCCCAGGCGGGAGGGGCCGCCAGCAGGCCGCGGGCGAGCGCCCACCCCACCCCACCACACACGCGCTCTCCCCCGCGGCCGCCCGCTCCTCTCCGTGGGCCGGGGCAGGCGAGGGCGGCGCGAAGCCGGGGCGGTGGCGGAAGGGGCGGCAGGTGGGCGCGGGGCGGGCCGGGGCGGGGCGGGGCGGGCGGTTATAACGGGTTCGGGAGGCGGGGCGCCGCCGCCGTAGCGCGCGGGCCGGCGGGTCCGTTTCGCGTCCCTCGGCCGCTGGTTGGCCGGGCAGTCGGGGCGCGCGCCAGCGCTGCCGGCGGCGCGTCACAGCGACGGCCCCGGCGGCCGATACGGGCTCCGGCCGGGGTCAAAATAACGGCGGGCCCGCGGGCGGCCCGCCCCGCCCCTCACCGCCCGCGGGGATGCGCGGAGCCTCGGCGCCTCCCCCGCCCCGGGGCGGGGGTCGCCCGCCCCCAGGCCGCTGCGCTGGATGGCGGGGGCTCCGGTCCCCTCCCGTCCCGTCTCGTCCCCAGCCCACGGGTGCGGGGGGGGCGGCAGCGCCCGGCCCCCGCCGCGGGGGGGAGCCGGCAAAGGCGGGCGCGGGGCCGCATCGCCTTCGAGGGGAAAAAAACAAACAAACAAACAAACGAAAAACAAAACCAAAACCCAGACCAACCGGAGATCACGGGGCCCGCTGTTGCCGGCCGGCGGGCAGCGTGCCGTCCGCCCGCGGCGGGAGCGCACGGCCCGGGTCAGTTGGCGGTGTAGCAGGGTTTACTGCGTTGTGTTTAGGGTTTGCCGTTGAGTAAAAATTACGTAATGTTAGAAGCGCGTAAAACGTGCGTTTGGTGAAGTGATGCCACGGGAACAGCTTTTCTTACAAAGTATTTTCAGGCTCTTCGTAAGCCCTGCATAGAATAACCAGCTTAATCAGCATACCGATCCTGAAAATCCACTGTTTGCTGGCCGTGCAGTAAAAGTGCGTTCAAACTGGAACCTTCAAATCGGTCGGATTTAAAATTGCTCAAGAAAAAAGGTCCCTTAACCACAGACAGAGTGGAATTCAAGTACCTGTTGAATCTTTTAAGTCACTAAGATCAGAACTGGAGTAAAACTTACATTAAGTTACCAAAATCCAGATTTGCCTCTCAAAGGTAGTGCAATAACTAATACGTACGCAAGCCAGAGAACTTCTGCAAACTATTTGCATGGGGTCACTGCCGTTACTGTGCAGTACTAAGCAGCGTCACTAATGGAAAGGGCAAGAGGTTGTTCTAGAAGTGCAGCCATCACAGTATTCAGACAATCATAATGGAGAATTCAGATCGTAAGTAAAGTTAGTTTATATTCACAGTTACTAGCTAGACAGCAGAACAGATCATACGTACAGCTTTTTTTTTGGTAGTTCGTTTTAGCAGGACATAGCAGGAGAAGCAGCTGTTAATCAGTGAAATAATGGCATGGTGGATCACTGCAGATGAGCTCCATGTTGTTTTTACACCCATGTTGCACATCAACTAAATGTCAATGAAAGCCCTAAATGCCAGTGAATAACCTGAAGGCAGTAAAACAAAGAGAGCGATAATAAAAACCTATCAGATAAAGTCTTGTGATTAATTAGCAGAAATAACAGGGGCTACATATTATCTGAAAGAGATAAACCATTTTATTTGTTAGGTCTCATTGAGTTACATACATGGGAACATAACTCACTGCTTACTTTTCCCTGTATGATGGCCTTACTGGCCTCTCTCATTGCTTTGCTTATGTTAGGTCCCTCTCACGGGCAACAGTTCTTCCACTCTTCAAAAATCACAACTGTATCTGATGTATTTATCTACCTTGGCATTAGGTGACATTGTAGTTACGTATTGAAATGGGTGCGTGTGCCATACAGAACCCAGTGTTTGAATGACTACTTAATCTGCAGTGTCACAGCTACAGAAACCTCCAGGGCACCAGCTGACATCTACTAGTGATTGAGTTGTACTTTCCTACATTTTCCCTGGTTTATTTTGCATCCTTAAAGAATAGGTTTTTCATTTGTGGAAACTTCAAATGAATAAATATTTACAGAGTACTCTGAGTTGTATGAAAATGCACAGTATTAAGAGGAAATGCCCTCAACAATTCCTTCACTTAATATGGAGATGTAGTAAATACACATTTGAAACCGTACGTACTTGTTTCTGTTTATTGCTTTTTGACTAGAAGCATTAAGTGAATTATATACACACTAATATTAACATTAGTTAAGGCTCAGTATTTCTATGACTGTAAAAACAAGCTCAATCCAAAACCAACCAAGACAGACCCCAATCCTTATCTCACAATTCGGCTGAACAATAAGTAATAATTACGTGTAACTGCGAGAGATACAATCATTTGACATGTTAAGTGGTTTATCTATCTGATTAGAATGAAATAGTTCGCAGTCTACTCAGAAAATTTAAAAATGCGCCACAAGACTATAGGGCCATTTATCATGCTTTAATAGCATCTTCATAATGTGAACAGATTTGAACTATGCTTGCAGCACAGAAAATGCAGTTATGTTATACCTACAGCCACACATGCTATACACAAGACCTCGCCTAGACAACAGCAAAAAGCAAACATTCCTAAGTACTTCTAGTAATTTACAAACATTTCCAAACAGGACTGGCTGAAGTCCACCACTAAAATAAAACTAACCTTACTTTCAGTACTGCCACTTTTTATGTAGGAGAGAGTTACAGTTAGAAGTGTTAATCACATTTAAATGTGGACAGTTGGGTCTCTGCCTTCGTGTGGCTGTTAAGCATATGCTTCTCAGTGACCACATTCCTCTTGTGAAAAAGATTTGCTTTTCATCCTGAATGCATTACCAACAACAGTATTAGTGTAAACTGAAGGATATGGGTAGCCATTGCTCTGAAGCAGATATGTAATCCAGAAGAATAATTTGTCTGTGAAAGAACATGACTAGTACAAATAATATATTCGTCCAACTGTCTAACCTAGAAGATGCTGAATTTGGTCCTCTGTTTTGTTTTGGTGTTTTTTTCCATTTTAGTAGTACAGAAATAAATATTCACACTTTGAATTGCCAAGTGCAATTATTTAAATGTCCAACAAACAAAAACAGGAAGTGAAACAAGCAATTATCTTAAGTTCATAAATAAGCCATAAAGAAGAAAAAAGAAAATTAAGTACTTTTATGTTCCTTTTCAGGAACAAATTTATCTTTAGGTACCAGTGTTGGTCTCAAACATGGCTTGTATAAAATGTTTTTAGATAAATAAGCGTACAGGAGCCAGTCATTATCAATACTGGGTGACAGTCTGGCAATTAAATTTTCTATCTATATATTCAAATAAATTAAATAGTTTGTTACTGATTCTGACCCAAGAAAGTCATGTACAATATTGTTCAAGGAATCCCAAGTTACTGCAAAACAACAAACCCATATAAATAATTTCTTCAGTATTAAAAGGCCTTTGAATGAAGGTTCTTAGATACTGCATTCATTAAAATCCATCTCAGATGCACTGAAATTGTGTGAGCATAACACCTAAAGACTTGATAGTGAGCAATCAGAACTAAAGAACACTTACTCTCCGTGGTTGATACTTAACAAGACCATGAACAAAGAAATCTAGTACAGTTTCTTCGATAGCAACAGCTATCAAAAATGCATGGAAGGGTAGCTATGTCTTTGTGACACTGGACTTTTTGTCCATTTCAATGGAATCCGGAGCAATATAACTGACGCCACCTCCAAGACTGGAGCGTCTCAAAGATAATTCAGAGGGAGGAATGTGACGTAGCTCTCGGCGAGATAGTTTTACTGGAGTTACTCCTTGAAACTGTGTTACAGCCTCTCTTCTCTGGATGACAGAAGGTAGCTGAGGATGAGATTTTGAAGGCTGAGCTTCATCTGTTCCTGTTTTGTCATCATTAATGCTCAACAAACATTCTCTGTTGCACCCAAACTCTGAAACATCTTCTCCAAGCTTGTGTGAACTCTCCTGTGCTCTTAAAATATTTGTTCTGTCTGTTTCTTTTATTTTCTGTGGTCGACTGTTGGTTTCAGGGTTAAGTGTCGACTTGAATTCTTCAGAAGCAACTTCTGCTTCATCTAGACTGGATGCCTTGTCACCAGCACTGTTACCTAAAGTGAAATTTATCAGGAGAAATAGCTAAAAGTCACAACTCATCTGAGTGCCTGCCATCAAGACATATTAGTTAGTCAATACAGTTTTACAGCATCAGTAACTTGTAGTGTGAACGTGGTAAAAAATTAACAGCACCTTACATTTTGTCCTTTCTGTTAAAAAGCTTGTCATCTACAAAAACACCAGGGATTTTAGCTGTTAGTTTCCTCTGACAAGGTGCTGGTAATACAACCCTCACCATTCTAACCTGTAACGTATTCTAGCAAGCAGTCTTAACTGAACCATGACAGTCAAATATGAAATTATTCATATATTGAAGAACAGTTAGCAATTACACTAGCACAGCACACAAAACATTCTGCAGATTTGTCTGTAGCGTACACACAGGACTGTCCTGGCTTCAGCTGGGACAGAGTTAATTTTCTTCCTAGTAGCTGGTACAGTGCTGTGTTTTGGATTTAGTGTGAGAACAATGTTGATGATACACTGATGTTCCAGCTGCTGCTAAGTAACGCTTACCCTAAGCTAAGGATTTTTCAGTTCCCCATGCTCTGCCAGTGAGGAGGTGCACAAGAACCAGGAGTGAGCACAGCCAGGGCAGCTGACCTGAACTAGTCCAAGGGATATTCCATACCATAGAACATCATGCTCAGTATAGAGACTGGGGGGGAGAGTTGGCGAGCAACTGCACTGTGCATCACATTTCTTGGGTTTTATTTCTCGCTGTCTTTATTATATTCCTTTTCATTACAATTACTACTACATTTTGTTACAGTTACTATTTTATTTTATTACAGTTATTAAAACTTTCTTATCTCAACCCGTGAGTTTTACTTTTTTTTTTTTTTCCCCCCGATTCTCCTCCCCATCCCACTGGGAGAGCAAGCTGCTGTGTGATGCTTAACTGCCGACTGGGGTTAAACCATGACAAGGGCTTTTATTATTTTCAAAGCTCAGCAACAAATTATAAAGTGTTTTTGTGACACTATATTGCAGCATGAGTCAAAATGTATTAAAAATAACTAAATACAGGGTATTTCTTATAAAACTTACGAACATACATATTTGAAAAAGTTGGATATTCACAAGGATCTTCTCCCTTCTCCTTGCTACAGTTTGGCTAGGATGGGTGTTTCCCCACAGGGATACATGTCCCAAACCACATGCTTCTTTGAATGTAAGACACAGACTAGTCTTTCCCACGCTTATTTATAATCCAGTCTCTAGAATATTCATGTTCACAGTTTGACAGTGTGCTCTATAGTAATGAATGTGTTGGCTTATTACCCTGCCTAGAGGGCAAGGGCTGGGCCTTAATTCACTCTGGGAGCAGCAGGTATCTACGTGTTAGGAAGGCATGGCACTGCCTGAGTGGAAAAAAACAGAAGCAACCATTGGGAGGGAGAACCAGCCATGATGAGGCTTAAGAAGAAACACAGGGCCAAGAAGGCTGTATTGTGCGCGTGAGGTACTGAGGTGACGTCATGAGGTACGAGACAACTAAAATAGTCACAGAAACCGAACCTGCTGTTCTCCTCCACCTGAATAACTCTGTTGTAGGTTTTGATTCTGGAAGGTAGAACATGAAACAATTAAAAACTTCCAGGAGCAGCTGGTTGATGGTTTGCTGTTCATGTTTTGTTTTGTTGTTATGGTTTGTGTGTGTGTGTGTGTGTGTGTGTGTGTCAAAGCACAGAATCACACTAGAAAGCGTGCTTTTTTTTTTCCCCCTACAAGTTTATAAATCCTCTCTTTTAGCCTTAATAAGTAGGTAAAGTAAGTTAGGAACCAAAAGTATGGGATTATTCACTGGCAGTCTCCCAGTAAGTAACTTCTATGAAACCAAGTGCTGGGAGCAGCCTATCTAAAAGCATGGCATATGACAAAGATGTTAGTTTCGTCATTCAGACCCTTTCTGATAGTAAAATTATTTTTTCTTAATCACAACAGTTTGAGGATGTAGATGCTGAAGTTATGTTAGAATCCAGAGAAAACAGAACAAGAATTTAAACCACTGCTACAGCTACAAACCTATGTTGTCTCTCCTTTGAAACTGGAGGAGAGGTGTAATATATTCATGGAGAACAGTTAGTTCAGTAAAATGATGATTTTTATCTGATACCTTTCTGTGTGTTCACCACCCTACAGGTGGTCTACTGACAATTGCATAAGTATTTTCAGGTAATACACTTACATTTAGTGGATACTAATAATTGATGGGATGACTCTCCAAAGAGGCCCTTCAATTTCTTCTTCAGCTCTCTGCTGGTCTTCTTGTAGAAAAATAAGTCTTTTTCCAGTTGCTGGACTTTTACTTCATACCCTTTCAAGGTTTCTGCAATACCTTCACTATCATGTTCTAGGACAAGGAAAAGTAGTTTAAGAACCAAGTTATCTGCCTGCAGTGTGCACATTTTCACTAGTATGACACAGGATCAAAAAGGGCATGCCAACCCCATTTGTCAGTTTAATAGGAGCATTTAGAAGATCAAGATCATCAGGACTGGTGTCTTTCAACTTCCCAGTATTAGCAAATTCAATATGAAAATACAACAATTCTGATACCACTTTAAAAAATACTAAGTTTTCCACCCATATAGACACCATGTATCCCCATTTCTCAGCGTCCTACACAACATCCAAATTGGTGACAGCCAAATTTTTTTTTTTTTTCAGTTGGAATATAGCATTTCTCAGTCGCGACTGAAGATAATATACTTGCTGTACAATCACCCCCAAGCAGCAAATACCTTTGAAATGATGCAGTATTAACTGTAGTTTTTTCTCATGTTCTTTGTGTTGTAGGGTCAGCTGCCTGTCACACTGCAACTTCATGTGTTCAAGTGCAGATTCTAATTCACGTATTATGTTTTCCTGGTCTATGAACTTCATTTCCTGTTCTTCAATCTGTAGTTGTAATTTACGTTCAGACTCACGTAGGCCAACAATCTAAGAAAGAAATACACTTATTTTTATTTATTTTATTTTATTAAAAGCTTTTACCCTTCTGCTTAATAGATTAAAGCATATAAAAGCAATAGTCTCTACAAGCCATAAGCTTGTACTGGAAACAGACTTGCTCGTTTGCTACAAGTTGACACTTCAGAAATGAGCTCTGTAGGTTTTTTGATCACATGGACTAATGGATTTTTTTAATACCCTGTACAGAATTTAAACTGAAAAAACAGTGTTTTCCTGATTCTACAAAACTTCCATTGTGCATCCCACAGATAACTTGCTCATAAAACCACCCAAGGTTCCACCAAACTCACAAAGACACACCATATTCTAATGCATTTCATTTTTATGTTTCCAGATGTCAGTATGATTCTTCAACATGTCGCTGTACACACTTCAGGAAGTGTATGCAAACATAGTTTATAATGGATTTAGAAAAAAAGAAGGAATACTAGCCTGAGCTTTAAGAAGCCTGCAGTTGGGAATAATTTCAACATGACACCACTATTTAAATATGTTGCAGCTCCAAAAGTTAGCTACATAGAGGACTGGAAAGGAGCAAGGAAATTTCCAGATTTGCAGCACCTTTTAAGCTAATGACCCCACACCAAGATATACAAAGTTAGCAAACAAGTATCCTATTTAGCTTTATGTAAACATTTAAAATATCTGAATTAATAACAGATCTATGTAATCTGAAGACATTTTCACTAAAAAGTTTGTTAAATTTATTTTTATTTCTCAACACCATTTCATTATCTAGAATAATAACAGAAAATAGGATAAAATATTACTCATTAGCCAAAACAAACCTTGTTGAAATATTTGAAGAGGATAGCTCTGAGGTCAGCAGCAGACAGGGAAACTAGTTTTCCTATTACATTATTCTCACTCTGTGAAAGAATCTGAGAAGATGACCTAAGCAAGTGCTGGCGATTCTGAATACTTTCATTCTTGTAATCAATAGCAGCCTCCAGGGCTTCAATTCCTTCTTCCAGCTGGAAAAGGACATGTTCTTCCTACAGAGAAACACATGACTGAGATCTTTAAAAAAAAGTGTAGAATTAATCTTTCTATACATAAGATATCTTTAACTTCAGTCTCAAGAGCGAAAATAAAGGGCAAGACAAACTAGTAGTAGTAGTAGAGAGAATGGAATGGGAAAAATAAGAGGTAGAGTACAAATCCAGAACATCTGTCTTATTCTGCCATAGTACCCCTCCCATGATGCAGAGGTCAAATAAATGCTTCATCAGAAAAACAGAAGTCATGCTTCCCTTTTTATCCTTCCTTCCTTCATCCTCCCCACAGTTTGACTTCTGCTATTATTTTTTTTTTTCGGTTGTGCTAGTTTTCTCTTAGATTAATGAATGAATCATGTCATTAAGGAGTTTGGTGACCATAACTTATCTAGGGAAGTGGTAGAAATGCATGGCCTGAAGCACTGCAGAAGATTTTGAAGAGTGAGGCAGGAAGGGTTCTTCCTGGCACATTATCACCTCAGCCACAAGCCCATACTGCTTCTCAAGACCTAAAAATAATCTGTACATTTTATATGAGTTTATTTTATCTTCAACATAATTATACCGATCAACTCAAGTGTGGACCATCCAAGACACATGACTTATTTTTGTTGCAAAAATATGGAGGCCTTCAGGTGAAGTTTGCTTTTTCACAAAACCTATGAAAAAAGTCAAGGGGCATCACTATGCAAGTACATTGCTTTGCTCTGTGTCCTGACATTATAATATCTGCCTATGATAAACTGATGAACTTCTAGTTTCCTTATTTCTGTTGATATGATCCTTAGGCCAGTGGAGTTTGTCAAGGCACTAGCTGAATTAAGTCTCTCTGAACATAAACTTTGTTCACTGGTATGCAAGTAGTGCTATCGTAGTATTTTAACGTTGCTATTTACAAAAGTACCCAACCTCTGTTCCTTGGTTCTAGCTTATCTAATATTTGGAGACATTGCAGGCTGGAGTGCTTTATTATACAACACTACCTAAGATCTATATTTATCTCAGAGGTGCTTACTTACTTCAGTTGACAACACTTTTCCATCTTTCAGTTTCTCATCCACGCTATTTCTTCTTCTGAGCAACTGATCCCTTTCCGTCTGGAGAACCTGAATTTTTTCCAAAATGTCTGTCTTATCTTCAGTGGTGCTGCCCTGAAGCTGCATACCTTTATCACACAGTTCCTGATCCAGCATACTTAAGCGAGTAGACAATTTCATACTATCTTTGTTTAAAGCCTAAAAAAACACAGCAACCATAGATATAAAACTAAGATACTCATTCCAGTAAGAGAAATGTAGGTGAGACTGTCACATTCTGCAGTAAAAGACTTGCTGGCTTCTTGCAATAGGACATCATCTATTTTGAGAAGACAGCTTCTATAAAATTTACTATTTATATAAGATATGAAAGAAAACAAAACCACTCAACATGCAGTTTTCCACATACTAAAAATTAAAGGGACTAGTCTATTATAAGTGACAAGGATACTTTAATTTCTATTCACTTTTGCTACTGAACAAAAAAAAAAATACAAAATGTTTCCCTGTCATGTTCTCTAGTTTGCAAAAGGACCGAGTAGCTTTTAGGTATTATTTAATGCTCTGCAATAACAAAACTCCACAGTTCAGATTTTTTTGTTTTGTTTTGTCATTGGAATTTTGAGGAGAAAAAGTGAATAAAAATTAGTATTCTGTGTTATTCACATTTTAAATGTTGATTTGCCCAAGCCACACAATAACTTCATGGCAGTGGTAGAGACCCAGGTCTCCTGGCTTGAGGCTGTTCTGCTATCTATCCACCTTCCCTCCCTGTTTTTTCAGCCAGCACTGTAACTGTGGTAAGTTTTATGTTTTTCTTAAATCACCTGGCTAGATCTCAGTTTCTTGATTTCCAGGTGACTTTTCTCGTGCAATAATGCTTCTTTTTTGGCTACAATAGCTTCTCTTTTCTTTAAATCTTCTTCTAGTTCTGCTAACTGTTGGTGTTGTTGGAGAATTCTTTCCATTTCTTCATCCAGCCATTTCTTTTGCTCTTCTAATTTCTAAAGTTTAAATAAAGATCCAGACAGCATTAACCAGGACTTTTTGGGTCAGAATTTTATTATTATGTTTTTTCTTTTTTAGAATAATTGATAAAATTGTAGAAGCAATTGACATTTCTAATGTTAACAATAATTCTGCAACAGAATCTTGACTCAGAATAATACTGAAACTGGACTGACTTAAAAAGAAGCTCAGCAATGTTACATTGCTACATCTTGTATAAACAGATCTGTATCAGATGCTTCTAAAGAAATGTATTATTTTTCTAAGAACAGTTATATAAGTAGATGTCTTCTATGGGATCACAGAAACTAGGTTTGGAGGGTACCACAGGAATTCAGCTAGCCCATCCTCATTGCATTATAGTTGCCCAAGACCAGCTATTTGTGGAAAAACATTAAGTGATGTGAAATTATGAAGTTGAAAGAAAGAAAGACAGTGAATGAGAGCTCTGATCCTGCCAGCACAGTCCATTATATATTTACTCTGAAGCCACAGTTTATCAGTGGATATATTCCTGGTAAGGCTAAAAAGCTGCCTTTAACTTTTTAAATTTTTAACTTTTTAAATTTTTTTTCACCTTTAAAAACTTTGGGTAACTCATGAAACTCTCATGTTCCAATGTCCACAGCTGAAAAAAATGTAGGTGGCTCTGCTGCACAGGATATCTACTTTTCTAACCCTGTTAGGAACAACCAAAACCATAGAGCTCTGTCATTTCTGTCAGAGGAGAAAACAAAAAAACCCAAACAAACCATGGAACATTTATAACAGAGCTCATCGGGATCACCCTCAAACTTACCAGACAACCAAACATGCTGAATTCTTAAGTCTCTGAATCAGCATCTTTGACAAATCAAGGAAATAAAACACATTAGACCCTCTCCTTTCCTTCATTCAAAAAGAGTACAAAAGCTGCTAGACTATACTCCCAATTTTTGCTACAGCAAAAAAAAAAAAAAAAAAAAAAAAAGAAAAAGCTCTTCTTCCAAACACTTTACAAAGATGACTAAGGATGAAGAAACACTTTTATTTAAGGACCACACCGATTCGGAATAGATTGGCTACCTGTAGCTTCTGTGAAGTTCCCACTGAGTTATTTTTCTTCTTTTTAAATGCAGCAATCTCTTTATCCTTAAGTTTAAGGATTTTCTGTTGTTGCTCCATCTTTAGTTGAAGTTCCTATAAACAAACAAAAAGTCCCATTGTTCCTGCCTCAGTCTGTTTTTAAAATGCATTTAATGTCAGAGTCCACACAAGTATATAATCTGAAATACTAACCCTGAATTTACATGTAAATCTGCAATTTAGAGCTAGACATCATGTAATAAAATTTAAAAAAAAAAGCTGAAAGGCAAACTGATGATTTCTGTGAAAATGTTTACAGAAAATTTCTTCAGTGCATTGGTCAAGCAAGTCATTACTTAAAACTATGGAAAGCCTGGCAGTATAGTTTATAGTCTTTGGGAAAGCAAAGGCAAAACTAGCTCATCTCGTTCTTTGTTACAAAGAAACAGGAAGAATCATACTTTAATTTGTTGCTGGTCCCGCTGAATCTCTGCTTCTAGTTGCTTCTTTTTTTCGCTCTCCTCACACAGTCTCTTCTGTAGCTGGGTCTGCTGATGCTTCATCTGAGCCACATTCTGCTCAAGCTCTGTTGCTTGTCTCTCATTTTGGTTAGATAATGAAGCCAGATTATTAGTGTCTTGCTGCTTCTTCTGTAAGGCCTGAATGTTCATGGCAAACTTCAGCTTAATAGCAAGAAAATTTAAATCTAAAACATGAATCAACTTCATTCTTTATTTCACTGAATTATTAGAATCTGCAAGACTTCCTAACTTTTGCCCAAACAATCACTCATTGTTTCTGTGGTTTCTGAGCGATCCAGTAAAATTGGCACAGGCAGAATTAATCTCAAGCAACATGAAAAGGTAAAGATACTGTTCATGCCACACAACACAATGAAAGTAGTAAAATATAACAGAAATCACAGGTCTGGAAAATGTGCAGAGACATAATGCTGCCAGAATGCTGGTCCTGAGCTCAAGTCAACAAGCCAGCTACTTCTTTCTGTATGGGGCTTGCCTGACCCACCATTCCAAGACCAAGAGACACAGAACACCTAAGCTGGCCCTACACAGAATTTAAACTTAGGTACAGCATAACTTAAAAGTAGACGGTCAGTACCAAACAAATATGACTGTCTCGAGCCCGGTTTTGCAAACCATCACAGTGATCTGCTTAGAGCTGGAATTTATATAGTATTTTAATAAAAGATCAATTTTATTTATGGCAGATAATAAACTTGTAAGAGTCTCCTTCTGTAGGTTCTTTTATGGTACTACATCACCCACTTCTTTCTTGGTTTCGTATCTACCAAGAAAATACTGTATGCATCTAACTACATATAGGTTAAATGTCATTCTGAGTATAATAGTGTTAAATTTCTCATTAGCTACTTCAATCCCACCAGCTTCCAATGTGTGAAACCAGTGAGAGTTTTACAGAGTGTTAAGGTTCAAAGGTGATAGTGAGACAGAGATTTGAAAATCTTAATGGCCAGTTCACGGATACCTGCACTTTCAACTTAGCTGCATCCATCTTCTTCCGGAACTCTTTTTGTAACTTGGCTTTCTCAGGAACGTCTCTCAGCTCCTTACTCTCCAGCTCCTGAAGCCGCTTTTGTGTTTCAGCCAGTTCCATTTTGGCCTGCTCAGATTCTTGCTCCAGTTTGGTTATCTTCAAAGAATATTGCCTGCTTACAGACTGAGCGTCCTTACCTTAAAGACACCATACCCAAATAGTTTAAAAACAGCAGGATAATCAGCTGGAATGTAACATTTAATTCCATAGTCGAATCATTACTTACTTCATTCTGGCTAAACCAATAATTTCTGAGACATTTTCCAACCCTAAAAGAACATACAGTTCCTTTCTAACTCTGAAACAGAGATAAAGGAAGGAATCTTAAATCTGAATTCTTCATGAGTCACCTGATGTCACCAAATAAAGTGCCATCTGAGTGCCAAAAATAGTGAAATTCTTCTGCCTACTGCAGTTTTTGCCATAAAAGCTCTTTTGTATTTCATAAATTTTGCTTTTTTTCCAGAAGAATAAGGCATTTATTTATTAATCAACTTTCAGCTTAATAATCATTAAATGACTCTGGATGGTGTTTCTACTCTCTGACTTGCCCTATTTGGGTGATCTTTCCCAAAGTACTATTTGGGGACACAGAATCTTTCTCATTATCAAAAGGCAATCTCAAGAGAAGGTATGCAAGCAGAAGAGTGTGATGGAAGGGGTTGAACAAAGAGATCCTTACTGTTGTCATAAGGCTAGTTTCTGGCAGGCATATATATGTGTAAGGGATGTAGTCTAACAGGGACACTGACCTTTTCCCTCATCCACTTCTGACTCCTGCTTCTCTACTGCAGTGCTGGGAATGCTTACATTCCCAGCACAGTGATGTATCTTCTCTCCTATCCCAGACACCATGTGACAAATGCATGTCCATGAAGAGATCAGTAGCACTGAGCATACATGAAAAATTACACTATTGGTGGATAAAAGCAATAATCAGCAAAGCACAAAAAATGTTTAACAAATACATCTGCGTATCATAGCAGAGTAGGTTGTAATCAAAATTTACAACTTTCAGTGCAATCATAGCAAGTAATTAAAGTCATGAATACTTAAGTTATTAAAAGTATACTTGCATAAGATAATTACATAAAGATTAAGACATACAGGACTTCAGAAGTTCTGTGCCTTTTCTTTGTTTCTGAACTTCTTTATTCTAGTTTTCCCTCCATCAGCCAGTTACCTGTTCTTACTAATTCCTTAATAAGCTCCTCTTTCATTTTGATATTAAGTGCAAGTTCTCTCATTTTTTGCTCGGCCTCAGTGAGTCTCAACTCTGAATTCTTTAACTTCTGCATGTTAAAAACATGACTTTTCTGGAGGCTGTCAATCTCTTCACCTTGAAACAAAAGAAAGCAATATGGAGATAAAAAATCTGGAATAGAGTCTGTATCCAAAAAGTAGTGCTCTGGAACATTGTATGTGTGAAGTTCTTCCATATGAAGTAAAAGAATCAAAAAGAGAGAATAGTGCAGAGTCTTTTCCCTGCCATGTTTCTAAACAGGAAAAGAAAGGATGTTAGGCATTAGCATTTCAAGAGCCCCAGAGGACCCTAAGTGGGAGGTAGAATATTCCGGAAACCATATCAGTGCATCTCTGGTAAGCTAATAGCATCTATTTTTTTTCACTGAAGCAGTACTAAAGACTTACATCTAAACAGCTTTCTGATATGTGCTTTCTCACTAATAAGTATTACTTAAACATTAAGGTCACTGACATCAGTTTCAGAAAGGAGAAGAGGAAGACAAGCTAGAAAACCTAAGTTGAACCATAACAAAAAAAAAAAATATTTTTATCAAATACACATATTTTGCTGGGAAAAATAATTACATGTGCTGAAGACATTCTTGCATACTCTGATAATGTAGTAAGATTCTCTCTCACGACTTCCATTTTACCTGTGGTTGTGTAAGTCTGTAGCACAGACTTGTTGGATAAATCAGACTTGTCTACCTGACACTTCATGTCATTTAGATCAGGAATAAAGCATAGAGAAGCCTGTTTTCGTGTCCATGTTCGGTTTATGGAATGCCTAAGGAAGAATGAAAAACATGCTACATTCCAAACACACAGGGATTTTTTTTCTTTAAGTTTCATGCAAAGTACATGATCTTAACAGAGAAGAATCCCAAACTCACATAAGCATTTGTACCTTCTTTTCCCATCTTATCTCTACCTGCTCACTTGCTCTGATCTTCACAGTAGATTCTGGCCTCAAAACAAGGACTATGCAATCTTTATTAAATCAAAACCCTTTGTTTATTAAATTTATTTTGTAATATGCCCAGTTGATCCCATAAGTTTATCATAAGTAACATCACAAATGGTCTCATATTATGGCAGGATTAGGCAGTAATACTACCTTTCCTATACACTTGCCTGTAACAAAAATGAAAGAATAACCAAAAAATTACTTAAATGAGGTTTTCTTTTTGCTGCCTGTATTTTCCCCCTCTTCATCACTCTGATCAGAAAGGCGGCAGTGAAGAACTTTATCCTGGTCTTCTATGTTGCTCAGTATCATCTGGCTGCGAGCACGGAATTCTGCCATTACTCGAGCCAAGGAGAAGGCAGGGGGGCTGGTATACACCTGTCAAAAAGCACACAAAGAAAGTGATGGGTAAAATACTTGCAACAATTTAGCGATTTTTTACTGGTATTTCAAAAATATTTCAATTTAAATGCCTGTCACCACCTGAACTTGTAAGCAAAATTACAGAGGTTTTCTATAATAACTCTGAATATGTTTGTAACAAAAGGCTTTGCAAGAACTTAGAGCACTTATTCCTAATGTGAAAGAAGGCACTATTAGAAACTTATTATCCAATGTATTCAATATGTCAGTAAGAATAATCACTCATTTTTGATAATGCTTCATATCTGAACACTCAAAACCCCCAGGAAAACACCAGAAAAGATTACAGCTTTAGCACCTGTAAGTGGTAATTTTAAGCCCGAACAATTTGGACAACTGTGGCATAGCACATGTTGCAAGACATTAAAAAGTAATTTTTCAGTCTGCAATGGGAAGCTAAACAGCATCTGAGAAAGTCACCGTAACTTGTCATGTCAAGTCTAATTATCAGTCTATAACCATTACAATGTAAAGGAAAAAAAATGTGACATTTGGGTAGACCTTACCTTTCGGGTCTCTGTCCCTGAAGGTGGGTGAAGGGAGTGAAGCAGACTCTTTGTGAGTGGGACACTGTATGGCCTCCTTGCAGATGCCACAACAGCTGGCCCATCTCCACAAGTACTCGAGAAGTCCAAAGTTTTCACATCTGTAAACTTCTCTAATTTTTCTTTTAGCCGATCAATAAGCATTTGCTGTTCCACCATTTTCTCGTTCTTATGGGGGAAAAAAACAAAGCAAAACTGTTGCTGATCGTGAGCTCTGCATCATATACACCATTTCGAAATTCCTTACAAAGGTCAAGAGTCTTGTAAATCACTCACTGACCCTGAATTCTTTTGCACAGGCGGCAAATTCTGCAACAAACTGAAAATTCTGTGACGCATCATCAATCTAACACACATAGCCCAATTCAAATAAATTTTGGACACATTTTTGTCCAGAAAGACCTAGCCCAGGTAAGTTACATTAGCTTATCTAGACATCTAGTGAGAAGTAGATGACACACTTATCTGCCTGTGCTTCCTTTATATGTGTCTTTATGGAGAAATAAAATGGAAATTCAACAAAAATGTTCAAATGAAACACATGGTCTGAGTCTAATTTATTAAACATGTATACAGGCTTCCTCTGCCTCTTTGAGCAGTTTCACTTTAAAGATTATTTGTATTAATAAATGTAAACATGTACATGATCCCAGGATCCCTCGTATGAGCTACTTCTTTTTCTTCTGTCCAGCTTCAACTTTGTTAGTAATGCTAGTTTGGAGAACTAACTTTTCTGCTTCTCTTACAGCAGTCTCCATACATTGTTCAGAACTACTTATCCTATCTAAACCGATTCATCCATAAAGCCAAGATTATATCCATTTTAAACTCCCTCTATTCCTTTCCATTATTTTCAAAGTACCTTTAAAATCTGGCCTAGTAACAGGAATGCTGAAGAATAGCTAGTGATAGTCAACAGAAAGTATTCAATGAGATATGTTTTGCATTCTCCTACTTCAAATAATACGTTTTTATTCATTCTTTTTATCTTGTTTTCTTAGATGGCAAGTTCCTTCCAAACACACACAGACAATGCCTTGCAAATTGACATTTTGTTGTAATACAGTGCATAATATATCTGTGTCATAGCAAATAGAATATATATATGCATACCATACTTGTGTTGGAGAATGGCTCAGAGACAAGGGTCCTGAGCCCACTGAGCAATTGTGTGATCAGAGCCTGCTCTAGCTGCTGATGCTGGGCCCCACTGGGGTTTGCCTGCAGCTGCTCGCAGCTGCTGATACATGAGGAATGTCAAGGACGCTTCAGCCCTGTGTACCGTGGTGTGCCCAAAACAGGTTAAGGGGAATTGGGAATAGTGGTCTGAGAAACCTAGTGTTATGGTAACGGTGGTCTGAGAAACATTGTGTTACGGTACTGTTGTGTATCGAAAACAAGTCAATAGGAATCAGAAATAGTAGCATGAGAAACTTAGTGTTATGAGAAGCTTGTGCTGTTAGCTAACTGCAAGTAGATGGACCGTGCGAATACGACCTTTGGAGCTTAAGCCAATCAGCTAGTGACTAGTAGGCATAATAATTATCATTGTATAAATATATGTACCCTGGACTAATAAAGACACACGGTGATTGATGCTCTATCTTTCACACTGAACCCGTCTTGGCGTGTCATTCGTCCACGGCTCCGCATACTTGTTATGATTTTGGAAGCAAACTGATCCACTTTGAAGCTATTATTTAACCCTTTTAAGTCTCTTTGTCCCTGATAGCCTTGTATACGCAACCCCACAGTGCCATACCTGCTACATCAATACATACATGTATAAACATTTGTCTAAAACCTGCTACTTTTAAAGTTCTTACCCTACCATCCATCACTAAATTACATATTCCTGTGAATACTACTTAAAATATTTGATAGAAGTGTTTGCTTTTCATTATTCTACCTATTTTATATGCTTTTAAGTAAAAGTGGCAGTTTAGTGGATTAAGTACCAAAATGGTGCCTGAGAGCTCTCAAGCTTCTCTCCTGTCTCTGATACTGAAACAATCATGGTCTTTTAACTGCACTGTAATAGCTTCTGTTCATTACCTCTACCTTGTATCCTCCAGAATTCATAAGCATTATTTCAGTGTAACAAGTTGACACTATGCTGTACAGATTAAAAGTAAAAATCAGTCTAGCCAGAGGTGACAAAAGAAAGAAAGTGACAGAAAGAAGAAAAAGATGATGACTAGTATACTTACCTTTCATTCATTGACTCTCCCCAAGTCATCAGCAAAGAAGAGGAAAAAGGAGAAAAAGTAGAATAAGGAGAAGAGTACTAGCTAGCCATGCTTATGCTTTTCTCTTTTAAAAAGTGAGATAATTATTTATCTATCATTCACATGACTGGCAACACTGCAAGAATATTAAGTATTATATTTATGGTCTCCTGGAACTTGAAATGTTATACACTTACTATCCATCATAACTCCATTCACAAGCACAAGATCTAGAGAAAGAGAGAGGCAAGCAGTGTTTCCACTCTGTCACTCAGTTTTCTCTAATAGTAAATGCTCAGAAAATTAGGATGAAATTCTGTCTTACAAAGTCAAAAGGGAACAATACTCTAATTATTACTAAAACTATAACAAAATACATTCCTACATAACCTTTTAATTAAAGCATTATAGTCTTTTTTAGATTCTAAAGAATCTTTAAAGACCTTTCAAATCCTGATTCATTAACTGTCCTGAAATGACTTAACAATAGTAGACATCTGAGGAGAGGGGTGTGTGTTATGCTTTGGGAAGCATGAAGAGGGTGAATGATTCACCTCATGTTATACAGGAAGGTTGGGGCACAGCTAGGCTAATACACAAACTTCAGAAATCACCCTATTGTGCTTCAGCCACTACATGAGCTCAACTCATCAAGTGATACAACTCTAATACAAATAAAATGCCCATAAGATTGACAGGTAGTTATGGCCAAAAAAAACCCTGAGGGACCTGTCTTGAAATAATGAATGCATTCATACAGTGGAAGGATGGTTCAATACAGATATATGCAATGTGTACCAGAGGAAAAATACCTGTAATCTATGTGTTTCTTGAGCCTCCCTTAAAGATTCCAGTTTTTCTTCATTCTCGTGTAGTAATGTCTTTATCTGTTTCTGCAGTATCTGCAGTTCGTGATCCTTCTGGCTAAATACTTCTTCATCCATAACTAAGGCCTGCTAGATAATAGGAAAAAGGTTCAGCTGGGGAAAAGGGGACATTATTATTATTCTTATAGTTGGAAAATTAAATAAAAAATAAAGAAAACCCCAAACCTCATTTGTTGTTAAAAGATGTGATCAGAACCACAAAGTTTTGAGGTATGTATAATGAATTGCCTAAGTGGTTATCTGTGGTTTCTACCAGTTGTTTCTTCACTTCTCTTTTATCTATAGATTTTCTTCTGACAAGTTTCTTTCTTCCAAAGAGAATAATGTACCCATAACCAAAGCTACTTTATTGAAGCAGATATTTAAATCAAATCATTTGCTTTAGGGTGCTGTGAGATGTAGCCACAAGATCTTAGTTTTCAAATAAAAAAATAAGGACAGCTGTCTGCATTCTGCAACTCAGATAGCAGTCTAAAGATTAAAGAAACCGTAATAATGCTTCCCCAGATGTTCTTGTGGGTAAATAACACTGATTGAAGTAGAATTCCAAATGTTGCTACTGTTCCAGAAAGTCTGTAGAAGCCAAATATAAAGTATGGAAACATCATGTCTTACTGTTCTAAAACTGGATACTTCTGTACAACTAGCTTACCTACACTCTTCTTCCAAGAAAAGACAACTCTTAATAGCTTTTAAGAATGCACTCAAGAACCTGGTGTCTCTTTAGAGAACAGAACTTTTTCCGAAGTCTGTGTACCAATGCAAATGCTTCTACTGAACGTAATTGATAGGTCTATTCTGTCACCCACTGCTGCTGTATCATTATACAGAGTTCAGCCAAATACAGAAAAAAAGAAGCCTGCACAGATGTTGTCATGGTGGCAGAGTGGGGCAGGATGAAGTGACAGAAAACTAAGTTGCATATTGTCCAATATTATATTAAACATACATAACTGAAGTCAGAATATATTTGCTCAGTTGTATTGGGTGTAGGTGTTGAGGGTTTGGTGGGGGTGACTGCAGGGGCAGTGTCTGTGAGAAGAGACCAGGGTTTCCCCATGCTGGACACAGCCGGTTCCAGGTGACTCCAGTGGACCTGCTGCAGGGAACAGCTGAGCCCCTCAGCCAAGACGGTGCCGCCTCTGTGATTATATATTTAAGAAAGGGCACAAAATGCCAGACAGGCAGAAGAGGAGATGAACCCAAAAAAGTGGGAAAGAGCAGAGGGAACACCGGGAGGAGGAGGAAGCGCTCCGTGGTGGAGCAGCAGATACCCACTCTGTAGCCTAGGGAGGACCTGCACTGGAGCGGATGGGTATTCCTGAAAGAACTGCTGCCCATGCAGAGCTCATGCCAGATAAGAGGAAAGGTGCAAGGAGGAAAAAGCAGCACAGAGAACCTCTATGTACTGACCATAAACCACTCTGCTATGTCTCTGCACAACTCAGCAGTGAGGTAGAGGAGCATGGAGTGAAAGAGTGAAGATAAGCCTGGAGAAGGCAGGGAGGAAAGGTGGTGTTTTAGTGTTTGTCTTTTTGTTCCCCACTGCTCAAATGAGTAATTTTTTTTTTTTAATTGGCAATAAATTAAATAATTTTTCCCAAATTTCAGACTGTTTGTTAATTGGTAAGCAATCTCCCTGTCTTTATCTCAACCCACAAGCCTTCTCATTCCTGTTCTTCGTATTTTCTCTCCCCGAGTCCTGCTGATGGAGAGGTGAATGAGTGGCTGGGTGGGAGTTTGGCTGTTAGCTATGGCTAACCCACTATACCATTATTTTTATTTTGTGTAAGACAGCACTATCCCGGCAATCATAGCTGTTAGCAATGAAATAATGTATGTACTTACAAGAATCAGTCCACTATTAGCTATTAAATCTGTCATATGCAAGTCCTGCTCTAGAGTCTGCACTGTCTCATTTATTTTAGCCTCTCCCAAACCATCTCCTCCTGGCTGTGGATGGCATACTCACCTGGGGAAATTTAAATTTAAACTCAGCTTTTATAATGTTTGAATCTGGGAAACAGAGGTTTAAAATGAGCTACAGAAGAAAATCAAGAAGAAAAAAAGCTGTGATTTTGATTGATTGAGAACAAAGACAATACAAAATTTATATATGCAATTGCCTGATAACAAGCTACAGGTTTATCACAGTTTGATGTGCAAACTGAAAATTGGTTGATGTTATACAATTCTAACTTAATGTAGTACCGTCTCCTTCTACTACAAGACAAACTCATATTAGTTTTTCTGAGCTGTTCATCTTATGTCAGAACTTCACTCAGTTTCAAACTAGTGTACAGATATTTTAAATTATAAAATTAATTTCAATTTGAGGCTCTGTTTATTGTACACTAATTTGCATTATTTTGGATGTTTTGTTATTCACAATCAACATTTTAACTGCATACATCCAAAATATGCACTTCCTAACTGTGTATTGGGGTGTTCCCCAAAATAATTATTTACTCGATCATGTGTTAGTTCTGTGAGGGAACATTACCATGCTTGAGAAGGCTGAGAGCTCTTCTCCCCATGGGACATTGTCTAGCACTATTATCTACTGTCTGGGAAAGAGCTAGTCAGAGCTACTACCATGACAGGATCCTTATGGGATATTTGCATGCTAAGAATCTCGTATCTTGTTTTGAAATTTTCACCTCAGCTTGAAAACTGTAAAGAAGTATGATGCCACTAAGAAGCAGAAAGTTGATATATAATACAAAAGCAATTGTTAGAAAAGTGATGAGACAGAGAAATCTGTAAATAGTTTAGAAACTCAGTTAGCTAAAGGCATGAGAGTGAAAAGGAAATGCAGGAGTTCTTGATGAGAACACTGCTGAAAAAATACAGGTTAGGAAATTCCTTAATGATAATAGATTATCATCTAATGGTAAGAGGTATTATCAACTTCACAGTATTAGATAGACTAATACACTACAAACATAGTATTAGATAAATTGGATATAAGTTGCAAAGCCTAGCCCATGGGTTATCTGTAAGTACACTGATACCTGTGAAAATATCTGCATTGTAGTTATATTTGTAATGTTTCTGACAGACTAATTTATTTGCCGGAATTGAAACAACTTCTGAATTTACAGGACAACTGAAAGTAGTTGTGGGTAGCTGAAAACACACAGCTGCTCACCCCCTTCGTAATCCCAGTGGGATGGGGGAAGAGCAAAGGAAGAGTAAAAACAAGAAAACTTATGGGCCAAGATAGAAATCGTTTGGTAAGTGCAGGTGAGGTGGAAGAAGAGAGAAAGAAAACAAGACAAGTAATGAAAAGGCAATTAATGTCCAGCCCATCACTCACCACCTCCCACAGGTAGACTGATGCTCAGCCCACTCCTAGGCAAAAGACAGCTAACACACCTAAGCCCCCCTCCTCTTCCTTTTTACTGCTGAGCATGTCACACAGCATGAAATATCTCCTTAGTTGGTTTGGGTCATCCGCCTAGTTGTGGCCCTCCCCTCATCCCCAGTGCACCCCTCCCAATCTATTCACTGGTGTGGCAGAGGCAGAAACAGAGAAGACCTGATGCTGTGCAAACACTGTTCAGCAAGACCTGAAACACTGGTGTGTTATCAGCACTGTATTGGTCACAAATCTGGTATGTTATCAGCATTGTATTGGTCACAAATCTGAAACACAGCACCCTATGAGCTGCTATGAAGAAAATTAATTCCATCCCAGCTAGACCCAATACAATCTCCACTCCATATTCCATACTATTTGTGTCATGCTCAGGTCCCACGCTATCCAATACAACCTCATTAACCATCCTTCCCTTCTCATCCTTTGATTTATACACAGATATATGGCCCTTAGTCTGTGGGCCATTCCTGTAAAATATCCATTGAGTATTCCTAAAATATCTGCTGAATTAATTTAGTTCATGACTGGGTTGTCTCTGTTATGATGGTCACTCAGGACAGGAGAGACATATTGTGTGTTGAGTTACTGGACTTCAAAACTAGCTCAGGCTGGGTCACTGTGGCACCTGCCTGGCTTTTTATGAGGCTTGTTCTCTGTTGGTTTAGGTGATTCCTGCTGTAGTAGTTCCTAAAATATACAACTCAAATAATGGGTTATTTCCCTGCAAGGTTAAATCTCTTGAGGTACACAGCAGATTTCCCCATCCTCCCACACTACCCACCAGGTGTACCTGAGTTCTTGAGCAAAAACAGTCCCACAAGCAGGTCTGCCTTTTCCTGAGGGAGGAACAACCTGTGCTGTCTTTCCCAGACAGTTCTCTACACACACTACAGGGACCTTATCTCCTTCTACAAGACGTATGGATTTTGTTTCAGCAGGTCCAGGCTGGTTAGCTAATCCTCTCGTAATAATTAACCAAGTTGCTTCTGCTAAATTTGCATCCCACTGCTGACGTGCTCCAGTGCCCATTGCTTTCAGTATAGTCTTTTAACAGTCCATTGTGTCATCCAATCTGTTTGAAGGCTGGTGCATGATAGGGAATGTGATACACCCAATCAACCCCATATTTCTTGGCCAGGTGCTTATGAGATCGTTTCAGAAATTAGTACCATTGACTCAGTGCTTCCTGGAGTAACATGACATCACAGAACTTGTTTTTCAAGACCTAGGACAGTGTTTTGGGTGGTGGTATGGGTACCATATGGTGTTTTGGGTGGTGGTATGGGTATCGTCTTGTCCACTTTTCTTGTTCTGCAATATCCAAGGCCAGCTGGATGGATTTCACTTCTGCACATTGACTCAATTGCAGTTACTGCAACTTGTCATATGGGACTCCACACAGCAGTTTTCCACCTCTAATGGTTTCCCACAATACAACAGGACCCATCAGTAAACGGAGCATATTGTTTCTCATTTTCTGCTAATTTATTATACAGTAGGGCCTCTTTGGCATGAGCCATTTCCTCAGGCAATGCCCCAAGGTCTCTGCTTTCTGGCCAATCCATGATCTCTTCCAGAATTCCAGGGCAGTTGGGGTTCCCATTCAGACCCAAGTGGGTGCGATTAGCGCTACCCACTTACTCCACACAGCACTGGTTGCATGATGGGTAGAGGGGATGTTCCCTTCGAACATCCAATGCAGTACAGACAACTGCAATGCCAAGAGAGGCTGAGCTTCAGTATGAACTACTTCTGAATTGTCTTGCACCCCTTCATATGCTGCTAGTATCTCCTTTTCAGTTGGGGTGTAGTGGGCCTTGTACTCTTGTAGTGGCTCTGCACCCACAGCTCCAAAACCCCAGAGGTCAACCTTGGATCTCTCCAGGTGCTTTCTGCCAGAGGCTCTGGCCGAGGTCATGCTCCCTGGCGGCTGCATAAAGCACGTTTCTCACACTTGGTCCTGTATGGACTGGCCCAAGGGCTACTGCATGAACAATTTCCTGACTAATCTGTTCAAATGCTTGTTGCTTCTTGGGGACCCAGCTGAAATAGTTTTTTGTTCAGGCCACTTGATTGAGAGGACTTACAAGTTGACTATAGCCTGGTATGTGCATTCTCCAGAATTCCACAATGCCTAGGAATGCCTGGGTTTCCTTTTTGTTAACTACTGGGAACATGGCTGTTACCATATTGATCACAGCTGTTAAGATGTGATGACTCCCATCCTGCCATTTTATTCTCAAAAACTAGATTTATTGTAAAGATCCTTTGATCTTTTTTTTGTTTGTTTGTTTGTTTTTGGTTTTGTTTTTTTTTTTTGTTTTGTTTTGTTTTGTTTTTTTTTTTTTTTTTTTTTTAGTGGAAAAAACATATTTCAGAAGACTCTGGATTTTCTTTTCCCCTTCTCAAACTCTTCCTCAGCTGTATTGCCCCACACAGTGATGTCATCAATGTACATGTACTGCAAGTTTTCTGAGGCTTTGTCCTGACCCAGTGCAGTCTGGATCAGTCCATGGAAGATGGTAGGGCTGGGCTTCCACCCCCTCATGGCAGTCGATTCCAGATGGGACACCGTTCCACATCAAAGGTAACTGTGCCCTGCACTCTGCTGAAAACGGGATTGGCAATATCAGCTATGGTGTATTGCTTGGCTGCCTTTGACTCCAGTTAATCCTGGAGTTCTGGCATGTCTGGTATGGCAGCACTTAACAGTGGCGTGACTTCATTCAGGCCATGATAGTCCACTGTAAGCCTCCACTCTCTATTGGACTTTCATGCTGGCCATATGGGACTACTAAAGGGCAAGTGAGTCTTGCTTATCACTTGTTGACTCCTGAGTCGACAAATCAGCTCCTGGATGGGAATGAGAGAGTCTCGGTGGGGACGATATTGATGCCAGTACACCATCATGGTAGCAATTTGCACTTGCTGTTCTTTAACACACAGCAACCCCACAACAGAAGGATCATTCAAGAGGCCAGGCAAGGCAGACAGCTGTTTAATCTTCACTGAACCTGCAGTGACTACATCAAAGGCCCAAATGATACCTCTTTGGATCCCAGAGGTATCCTCTTTTGAGAGAGTCCATGGCAATGATATATGGGTCCTCTGGACTGATGACAGTAGTATGCTTCTGCCACTTATTCCCTGTTAGGCTCACCTCAGCTTCTAACACATACAACAACTGGGATCCCGCTGTCACTCCAGAAATCCAGATGTGTTCTGCCCCCTTGTACCCTAATGACATTAGGATATACTGTGTGCCAGCGTCCATCAAAATTAAAGTAAATCCAATTGTCCCTTTCCTCCACTTGGACAGAGGGAGGGCACCCCTATTCCCAACTAGAGCATTTATTTCCTGACTCCTGTAATTACAAACTGTAAGTCTACTGTGAAAGGAGCTCATGTCTCTCTGTTGCCTGGGCTACGGTACAAGGACTATTCACAAGTTTGATCCTACTACAGACCAGCACGGCTCTTCCATGGTAGAAGGCATGGGGGTCAAACCCACATAGACATAAATCCACTGGGTCAGTATCAGAAAGAGGAGAGGCATCCTCAGCCCATCTACTGCATCTCAGGAATTGCTCGACAGTAACCAGAGCAGTAATCTTCCTGAAGGGCCCTTTTAAACCACTACTTTTCCCCACAATTTATGTACACAAGACTTCCAGGACCAAGGTAAGTACACCATCCCACTTCCTCGTATCCCTCCCACAGTCACACAGATAGAACCACAGGGTGGCACATGGCATGTGCCCATGGTTCCCTTTCCTTTGAGCAGAGAAAAGCTGACTTTTGGTAGCTGAGATGCTGGCCCGCAGGGGCAAGGAGGGAGACTATCCACATTCTCTTCGAGTTGCTGGACCTTGAGGAACAGTCTTTCCACAGCTGAGGTGCAGACCCATATCAGGGAGGGGGACAGAGATTCTCTTAGAATCCCTGGAGCTGGCAGACCAGTCTATACAAAGCTGGTGCCTTGATGTCAGACCAATCCATCATTGCTAGATTGCTGGTGCATGATGCCAGTGTGCTCTATACAGACTTCTGCCCCAAAGACTGTGTGCACTGTACGTCATTCAGACCTTTGGGGGCCTGATTGTCCATGTCACTGTAGGCCATCTCCACCATTGCTAATTTCCTCAGACACTGAATGTCTCAGTGGATTACAGTACCTTCTTTAAGACAGTACCTTGTCTTCATGCTCAATAAGAGCCACCTCTGGAGGCTGTGAGTGGCTGCCTCTCCTCTGATCCCTTTGTCAAACCCACAGTCCCTAGCAATGGATCCCAGCTTCTGTGCTTCCCTACCTTCTAGTTCCAAACTGTTAGCCCCACTACTCCAGCACTTGAGCAAGCAGGTAGCAATTTGTTCATCTTGTTGATGGGCAAAATCTTTCCACCTATCTTGCATCTTGGTCATGGGTAGGGACCAGGTGGTTTCTGCCTTTCATGATTTCTATCTCTTTCCTCCCCTGTCCTGCTGCAGAAGAGGCTGCCTCTTTTAATTCTTCCTCTCTCCCACTCTCAGGAGGAGCTGCTTCTTCTCTTACTGAGTTGACCTCTGCTTCCACCATTTCTTCTCGACTACAAGAGCAACTACTGCAGTTGAGGGTTCAGTATCCAGTTTAGTGTCCATTTGTGTGGCTTCAGAGCAAGAGACCTTCTCAGTGCCCGTTAGTGGCCTCTTAGATCAAGAGATCCTTCTGCATCTCTGAGGGCACTGGCCGGTGGCTTGATAAGCACAGCCAGGTCCCAACATAGCTTTAGAAGTCACTGTGTTTCAGCTCCCCTCTTTCAAATGGTGTATTAGTTTGATGGGTTTACAAGCCTGTTCAAGCATGAAATCCCAAGCTGTCGGAGGCAATAATGGTCCTATGCACCTGCCCAACTCCTCCCATACACCCTGCCACCTCAAGGATCAACTGCCTTAAAGCATGTTCCCGTGTGGCATCTCCAATTAGTTGTTTAACTTTATAAACAATAATCAAAATCAGGTTCACAATACACACCAGTATAAACAGTCTGATTATGTGAGGATATTGAGGGAATTGAGAAGCCATTGCATCAAGGCTATAAAAACCTATCCTGGAGGAGAAGAAGGGATAGGTGCCATCATCTTCTCTCTCCATAAAACGTCTCTCAGAGGAGAAAAGGGGAAAGGTATAGTTGCTCGTTTTGTCCATGAGATGGTTCTTGGAGTACTAGGGGACCTGTGATACAAGACTCAAATACCAGGCTAGGCTGAAGGCCAGTGGTTTTATCATAGCTCTCCCAAGCAAAGGAAAACAAAATGATAAAACAACGTACTAAACAGCAAAATCTGAAAACAGTCATTAATGATTCTTGAAGTCTCTTGTACAGCTAGAAAGGAATCAAGCATTAGAATATTCAAGGAAACACATAAGTCAGCACCCAAAGTAAACATGCCAGCATCATGATCTGCAAGAGTCACTCAAATAACAACTTAAATAAACAGGTACAACAGCTAGAAGTTTAATCTAGCACACACTAATCAAATCTGTTATTATTTCAAAGACCTTAAGCCCCGTGTTAGGCACCAAAAAGGACTGTCGTGGGTTAACCCCACTAGGCAGCTAAGCACACACAGCTGCTTGCTCACTTCCCTGCTGCAACCCCAGTGGGAGGGCGGAAGAGCAAAGGAAAAGTAAAAGCAAGAAAATTTATGGGACAAGATAGAAATTATTCAGTAAGTAAAGGTGGAGTGTAAGAAGAGGAAAATAAAATAAAACAAAACAAATGATGCAAAAGCACTCACCACCTCCAAAGGCTGACTGATGCCCAGCTAGTTCCCAGGCAAAATATGGCCAACCTCCCTAAACCCGCTTCTCTCCCTTTTAATTGCTGAGCATGATGTTATATGGCATGAAATATCTCTCTGGTTAGTTCAGGTCACCTGCTTGGCTGTGTGCATGTCCCCAACCTTTGTGCACCCCCCAATCTATTCACTGAGGGGCATAGACAGAAACAGAGAAAGCCTGATGCTGTGCAGCAAGATGTTCAGCAAGACCTAAAACTTTAGTGTGTTATCAGCATTGTGTGGTCACCAATCTAAACCACAGCACCCTACAAGCTGCTATGAAGAAAATTAACTCTATGTCAGCCAGATGTAGCACGCTAACATAGCTAAAAACAATCTAACAGTTTAAACAGCTCAGCCTCATAGAATTATCTTGAAACTGACTAGCCAAAATATAACATTATTTATCTCTATCATGATTAAGATGATTGTCCATTCAATCATCCATTAAAATAAAGCAATGTCATTAGTCAAATAAAATTATACAAGATTTTTAATTAAATCTAAATTGTCAAATTAAGTATAGGTAGCAGTTTTACATCTTTCAAAATTTAATTCAAGCCTTAGCAGACTGCTCTTTCACACAGTTATTTAAATAATCAACATAGGATTAAATACCTGGCATTTCTTTAGTTCCCTCTTTAGCTGAAGAATTGTGATGTGATGTGGCTCTTGACTGGTCCCAGTCCCTGTGTCAGTTTCCTGCATGGTGAGAGCTTCCTTCCTTACTTTCTGTACCATAGTGATCCAGCTCTGCAACCTGTCCCTCTGACTTCTTTTTAAGCTAACATCATCATTCAAATCAACCAGAAATGGGAAGGCTTCATCTACACAATTTCTATAACTGAAACATTGAACCTGAAGCCGGGTGAGCTGCTCCTCAAGGGAAGTGATACGAGTTCTTTCTTGATTTAGATCATGCGAACACTGATTACTGACTTGCTGGTTCTGCAAAGCTTCTCGAAGCAATCTGATTTCAAGTTCCATTTCATCAATCCGGTCTTGATTTGGGTTATAATTTACAACTGGTTTATTTCTAATGTTTTTGGCCCTGTTGGCATATTTGAGGGAATTTAAAGATTCATCAAAGTCAGATGAGGATGGACTTATGCACGTTATCATGACAGTCTTGGCATTTCCTCCAAGGGAGTCTTTCAGAATACGAGTGATTTTAGCATCCCTGTATGGAATATGTACACTTTTCCTTTTTGGGTCTCCAAGTGCACTGATGACATTTCCCAAGGCCAGCAGACCACTGTTGATCTGAATTGATTCTTTGAAGCGTTCACCGGTATTTCCAGTCTTTGTCACCCTCTCTGATCCTGCCAAATCCACAAAATGAAACTTTGAAGCAATCATCTGGACTGATTTCCAAGATGAATCCTGTGCAGCATCAGTACTTTTCTGAGATTCTGCAGACTGTTTCTGACAAATACTGATGGTAAAAATGGCATGAGATCGACTAGAGTGCTCATTCATTTGTGTTGTGCCTGTGTGACGAGCTGCGTTGCCACTTTCCAATAGGCTTATCACTTCATCTGCACATTCTACTTGGAATTCCTTAGCACCAACAATCACTTCAAACACCAAACCAGAGAAAGTAAGAATAATTCAATTAGTTTTGAACTCTTCAACAAAAGTTTACAGCAATTAGGAACAGTCAAACTATAAACATGTATTAGAGAAAAGTAAAAGTCTGCATTATTATGAGGCCATAGCATGTAGCTATAGAAAAATAAGACATCAATGTGTGAAAAGCATGAGGCACAATACATCTGAAACCTGCAGATAGTTAATATATGGGTGTATTGTGTCATAGCATTGGAAACAATACCTTAAACACAATACACAGCTTTACTCATTTACTCATTGCCATATGCAATTTGCAATCTAGTGCTGTGTAGTAAAAGCATGAGCAAAGTCAGCTCAAAGGGTATTTTGGCAGTTAAAAAAAAAAAAAGAATTAAAAAGACTAACAGTAAGTTTGTAGTAGAAATGTTTCCTAGTGTACGGTAAGAAGAGAACTTCTGTTCTATATAGCTTCTACCAAGTACTCCTAGCAAGCATATTTTTTGTCCTTTCTTTCAGTGAAGGATGGAAAATGTCCTAGCACAACCTACTGAAGCTGACTTGAACTTTACTGAAGAAATTAAATAGTTTAAAATATATTATGAGATCTTTGTGAAGCAATGATATTGTCCTTAAGATTTGTGCTAAATTAGTGCCTTCTTGCAGCTACAGACAAAAAAAAACCATGCCAGCTCAATGGAACAGTACATTAATATTAGAGTAAACACAACAATTAGACTACAAAGAATTAAAAGAATTTAAAAAAAACCACCAGACTATACGGTTTCAGAATAAATTAATTCTACTCTAGGTTCTTCTAGAATATTCGTGTAGTGGACAGAACTATAGGATAAGGGTTAATTTCAAAGCCTCCAAAAAACACCAGATGCTACTATTAAATATTCTCTTCCACTCATTTCATAGTGAAAGGGGTCAGATATTTACAGTATAAGTTGCTTAACAATTATAATTTTGAACGGAGATAATCATTCATACACTTGTGTTCCTAGACAGAATTTGCAGAAGCGATAGCTGTATTTCTACTTTACCATTTGCTGCTATTTCTGATGGTACATCTATATTGTTCACGGGCAAATTCACCCAAAACAGCTTCAAGTCAGCTAAACTGAGTTTATATTATGAAAATTTAACTTTTTTCTAGTATTACTAATAAATAAGCTATTTCAAGAAAAGGCAATAACTTGGGCACACAACTGAAACTCAATACACCAAATTTTAGAGATTAAATCCTACCTGTATTTCCCTTTTCATCTTCTCGGATATGTAATTCTTTCATAGAGGTCTCCAACTCCAATAAATCTCGAAGTTCTTCCTTGTAAACCTCTATATAAGATACTTTCACATGGAATTCAATGTTATGGTTTTTAGAAATATGCTGAAATAATTCCTGAATAGCCCGAGGGATTATGCCCTTTTCATCCTCTGCAACTGATGCTAAAATATAAGCAGAGATGTCACAGAAGCTTGTAGTCATTCTGCCACATAAATTACAGAGACTGAAGATTGAGATTTGTTTTTCTGTGAGATTTGCTACTCAATATACTAAGGAATCTGAAGAGCTCAGAGTTCCCAAGGGTTTTTGTTAATATTTGTTTTTTGAAGCTCAGAATATTTGTTTGCATACATTAATAGGATTCAAAGCTAAGATCTAAATTACATTATGTTATAGTCATGAAAGTAAAGAAAAATACGGAATCTACTTTAAATCTATACTTCTCAGGGTATAAATTTTTTGTTTATTCCTACTCATTATGGTTGGCAATGGCATTGCAAGGGTTTGAAAAAGTATAAATTCCACTTAAATACAGCAAAGACCATTAGTAACTTGGTGAGACAAGATATATGACCAACATTTACAGTAATTTCCTATTTTTTCAAAGTAGATATGGAATGCTAATGCCAAACCCAGGGTTTGTTTTTGTTTTTGTTTTTTTTTAATGTTCAGCATAGGACAATGTTTCCATAAATTATTTCTGTTCTTTATTCAAGAGTAAGGAAGCTTACTATTTGTCTATGAGAAGACACCAAGAATCTTTTTTACCAAAATTAAAATAAAGGGTTGTTCACATCTAACTATGAATTTAGTAAATATACATATAAAACTAAAATTGCTGAGCAATGAACAGCCTTAGATTGTGACATTCATTACCTAAAGAATTTGGCCAGCAATGGTACTTACAAGAACATTAAATAACTACTAGTAGAGGAAAGACAAGCGAAATTATAGCAATAAGCCGAATTAAGAAGCCAACTGTATGAGTTTCAACAAGGCCAAGTGCCGGATCCTGCACTTGGGTCACAACAACCCCATGCAGCGCTACAGGCTTGAGGAAGGGTGGCTGGAAAGCTGCCCAGAGGAAAAGGACCTGAGAGTGTTGGTTGACAGCCGTCTGAATATGATCCAGCAGTGTGTGCAGGTGGCCAAGAAGTCCAAGAGCACCCTGGCTTGTATGAGAAATAATGTGGCCAGCAGAACTAGGGAAGTGATTGTCCCCCTGGGCTTGGCACTGGTGAGGCCACACCTCAAATACCGTGTTCAGTTTTGGGCCCCTCACTACAAGAAAGAGATTGAGGTGCTGGAGGGTGTCCAGAGAAGGGCAACAAAGCTGGTGAAGGGTCTGGAGAACAAGTCCTGTGAGAAGCGGCCGAGGGAACTGGGGGTGTTTAGCCTGGAGAAAAAGAGGCTGAGGGGAGACCTCACTGATCTCTACAACTACTTGAAAGGAGGTTGCAGCAAAGTAAGTGTTGGTCTTTTCTCCCAAGTAACAAGTGACAGGATGAGAGGAAACGTCCTCAAGTTGAGCCAGGGGAGATTCAGATTGGATATTATCGAAAACTCCTTCACGGAAAGGGTTGTCAAGCATTGCAACAGGGTGCCCAGGGAAGTGGTTGAGTCACCAGCCCTGCAGGTATTTAAAAGGTGTGTAGATGTGGCACTTAGGGACTTGGTTTAGTGGTGGACTTGGTAGTGTTAGATTAACAGTTGGACTTGCTGATAATAATGGTCTTTTCCAGTCTAAATGATTCTGTGATTCTATGATTCTAAACAAAAGGAAGATTTTCATAGCTAACAAGAGATTTAGAATAATCTATTCATATCTATTTGGAAGACTTAAATCATAAATTTCTGTGTCATCATAGAAATGTCTCTCTCAAAAAAAAAAAAAAAAAAAAAAAAGGCAAAATTGTGAGCAAGCAATTAGATTAGTTGCCTAAAGCAGACATTTTCAAGGTAGGATAAATACTGCAAGAATCACCAAAACAGTGCATTTCAGGAAGAAATTCCATTTTAAGTTGAATGTTAAAATGGGGAAGGGGAAAGAGCATTTTATAAATTGGGGGTTTTTTAGATGTTTTTAGTACAGCCTAATTTACAGAGAATTTGGTTTTAGATCAGTTTAATTATCACATACACTTTGGAAGCATTTTTTTTTTTTACTATACCTTTTTTCCTTAGCCCTTAAAAATTCTGCAGCATCATCTGCTATGTATTAAGTACTTAAACTATACAAATATGCTGTTCACCAGTTTAAAAAAACCCCAAACTTTCTACAACCTACCAATGTGGCCACCTCCAATGGTGTAAGTCTTCCCAGAACCTGTCTGTCCATATGCAAACACTGTAGCATTGTATCCCTCAGTCAAAGACACTAGAAGGGGCTTAATGCAAACAGTATAAACTTCTTCTTGGGTTGAATTTTTGCCAAATACGAAATCAAAAGTGAAGACACGGTCTTTCCCAATGATAATTTGTTGTGTGTTTGGAACTAATCTCACACACACTTGGTGGTTATGAAGTACTTCTCTGGAAAGCAGAGGTCTGATTCGAACTGCAACTTTAACTGGGATCTCCTCCATGCCAGAATCCATCCCTGTGCTCCCCACTCGGTATTCACACAGTCAACAAGAAATCTGTTACCAGTCCTGTGTTCACCTCCCTCGCAGCTGTCTGCAACTAAGAAAAAAAGTTTTCCGTGTTATATAATAAAGAATTAATTTCCGGCTGAAGGAGAAAGTTGACAATTCCTAAAGAATACATAAGCACAGTTACACTCTTTAAAAATACCTAATACAAAAGTAGCTATATTAATAACTGTTGAATCAACTCATAAATTAATTTTGCCTCTATTAATTTCGAAGCTAGTGGACTTAACCTTAAGTCTGAAAGTTGCCTGATTTTCTATTTGAACATAACACAGCCATATGAAGCAACAATATCATAAAAGCTTGTTAACAAACACTGTTGATAAAGCATATGCTAACAATAAATATTCTCATTTTCCTAGTCTTGCATTCATGCTGCACAGGCAACATAAATCGGTCAAACAAGACCTTTTTCTCCAGAAGTTGTAGGTATATACACACACGTGTTTTAAATTCTCTTCCACATAGGAAGCACCAAGCATTCGTAACTCAACAAACACAGAGAAAGCAGTTGTGTTGCCTACAAAGGAGGTGTGATTTTAAATATATCTAATTACTACACCTAAAACATTCCTCTGACTTTAAGCACATACGTCATTATTTTTTATTAATTATGTACTTTAGCAACCATGGTTCCTTATACTGCTCCCTGCATATTCATCCTTCCAACATAAGCAGTGTACAGTAGCACAATTGTAAAAATCAAATAAATAGCCTTTCTTTAGAGCTGTCTTTCATGATCATTCAAAACCCCTCACAGATACTGCTGGTTCGCAAACACATCATTGGTTTGATTTTTTGTCTGATTCCAAGAATCTCTGCAGTGCAAGGGAAAGTTTGCCAAACTCCCACACACTGCCTTTAAGAAAGCTGTATTACCAAACTGGCAGAACACATGATCTAAGCCCCCAAAATTCAAGTTTGTTGAAAACAAGCAGCTTTAAACAGTTGTCATTGTGTGGATGCCAAGAGAAGAGTTTTTGCATTTAATTTTATTCCATTTAGTATGAGAACCTGGCCATCCAGAGCTGATAAACAATCTGAAGTTGAAAAAAGAAACCCCTCCATTTTATTAACAGAAGTAAACCATAGAAGCAAAACACGAGACTGGTATCATAAAGGACATGGCAATCAGAAACAGCTATATAAATTTACTAACTAGAGATTCAAAACACATTTGATCAATTTCTAGTTTTATTTATCCAGGTGTATCACTTTTATCCCCTAGCAAGTACTGCTTTAAAGTGCTGGCATTACCCCCACCCTCTTAAAGCTATATTAAAAAAATAATACGGGAATATGAAATAGATGTATGCCAGGGCTACAGAAATACTCTGGTGTCGATACACCTTACGCTCTCGGCTGCCAGAAAGCAGGAGCAAGTACTAGTGGCTCTTTACTGGCAGGGGTATTCTGAAAGCGGGCCGGTACATTTTCGTGGTTTTCCGTGTCTCGCGGTGCACCTTTTACTCCAAACCTGAGAGGAGCCGGGAACGAGATCGCGCCTGGGTCTCGGGAGCCGCCCGCGGCCGCGGAATGCAGGCGCCCGGGCTGCCGAGGCCGCGGAATCCAGGCCGCGGCTGCGGCGCGGCCCACGGTCCCGCGGCTCCCTCTCCGCAGCGGCCGGGGCTGGGCCCAGGCTCTCCCCGTTGTTTACGGCGCCTCGCTAGGCAACGGCGGCAACGTCCGGCAGCGGCAGAGCGCCTCCGCCTCGCGCCCGGCCGCCCACAGCGCCCCCTGGCGGCTGGAGGAGGGAGGCCCGAGGGCGGCCCTTCCCTTCCCTCCCCACCCCCCGTCCCCGTCCCCGTCCGGGTCGGACCCACGGACACAACACCCCCCCCTCAGTGAATAGGCGGCCGTGCTCCACGCGGTTTATGCCAGTGTTTATTTAGCGAGGGTTAAGAGTCCGGCGCTCACCAGGCGCGGCCGCGAGATACGCGAACAAATCCGCGGGTGGGGGTGTGGGCACACCGAGGTGTGCAAACACAGGTCCAAGGACACGCACAAGTACAGGAGTCAAAGCGGGTGTAATAAACCCTGTATGAACATGGATTGCCGAGCAAAGTTCGCATCATTAACTCCAGTTACAGCCTGAAAAACTCAGAGGAAAAGCAGTACATTGTTAATATGCCATCAGAAAATAAGCATGTGTGATTTAGCCAGTTCCAAATTAGTAAACAACAAACCACCGCCTGAAAAGAATAACAGCAATTCAAACGATAATGCGTCAATAGCATTGCTATCGGACTGGACTTAGTAATATATACACCGCACTCGATGAAACGGAGTATCTTCCATCTCTGCCCTATGATTCCTCGCGTAGTCCCAAAGATAGTAGTCGAGTAGAACTGCATTGATCCGTCCACGCACGTCCTGACCCTTCTTCTCGTAGAGCTCCAGCAGGTGCTTACAGATCAATGCACAGCACCAAATGGAACAGCCACGGATCTCCACCTCCTCTTTGTCTCCAGATTGGAAAACTGTTCCTGAAGGCCACAAGAGACAGCAACCCAATTATGTTCAAGAGACAGCAGCCCCAGGATGGTCTGAATTTGCCAGTTTTTTTGTTTCCCTCCCCTCCACATTTACCGTATTCTAGGACTGCAGTCTTCATGACTTATGGTACACAGCTGCTAACAATATTGCTATACGCTTCCTAATGATTACTTTAATATTACCATATGCGCTTCCAAGTTTACCTCCCATTCAACCAAAACAACATCCTGTATTCTCAAAGTGGCTTAAGAAAAGAACAGCTCTTTGGGTTATACTGAACATTATATGACTATTTCTTTGCTTGTGGAAACAAAAAGGATAGTCAAATATAATTCCAAAGCAGCATATTTTCTGCTAGGGTAACTTTAAAATGTAAAAATTAAAAAAAAAAAAAAAAGACACATATATAAAAATAGAAAGGGACCCGTTTGTTTGAATGACTTGAAACGTCCTTATTAGGATTCACAAAAAAGATGAATTGTCCACATGATCTACCTGATATGTTATAGTAGCTCAAATGGAATCTGTTGTATAGCATTAATAGAAAAACTCACTAAAGCCTTAGGCCACAAGCAGTGAACTTGCGCTGAACTTAGTTACATGAAGGGAGGCCCCGGGACCAGTGCGTCCTATGAAAAATAAGGAACAGCCAGCTTAGAGACAGAGAAAGGATCCAGTGATGAACATGACAACCCCAGATCCGAATATTGGACCAAGCCATCATGTGAGGGGAGGGGAACTTAGACTGTAAGGGTATAATTGTTCAGAGCTTTTCTTCTTCAACAGCTTGAGCTGTTTTTCTGCTATGCCACCTGAATAAATTATTTTTGTAAGATTCAATGCCTGAGAGTCTGCTACAGGAAACCCAGGATAAAGAAATTTCTTTAACAAATAGAAAGATAATGGTTATATATATTCTATTAAGATCCATGGATGATTGCTTTCATCTGTTTATCTTGGTATGTAATTTTAAAATTGCATAATAGCAGTCCTAACTATAAAAACAGTCATTTTACAGTGGAAAATGGACTGGTTTAATGTTTTTATTTATTGAAGTTCATAGTTAATAAGTACTGGCAGGTGGATCCATGCTTAAAAACAAGACTGGTCTTATGCAATTAACTTATTTTTTTTTTTCTAAATAGATGGTTATATTACCTTGCTTGTCATTAGCAGTTCAGTACAGATAAAGAAGAATCCCCATGCTTTTACATCATTTTTTAACTAATGAAGAAATCATTGTTTCTTTTATCTAAACCTCAAAAATCACAATCATATTCATGCTGAGAAGTGTTTTTGGAAACAGCAGCCCTTCAGAAACTCAAAAATCAACTGTCTTAGGGTCTATTTAACCCTTTACTTATCAGTGTTTAATCCAAGGAACAGTTGGATGTTTATAAAAATGTAACCTTAAGAACTCACTGAAGATCATTGTTAGAGAGTAAGTTCCTTACTGTTACCTCATCACTAAATAAGTCCTTGTTCCCTGAAAAAAAAAATTAAAAAAAAAAAAAAAAACAAAACAAAACAGAGCGTGTGTGGACAATGTGGACAAAACGTTACATTTTAGAAGTAGCTTTAGTCAATGGTACCGTATCAAGAGGTAAGATTACTTGATTACTAAGGGCAGAACAAACCTTCACGTAGTTTCTTCATTAGTTCTTCAGAATACTTCATTGCTTTTAAGTGAACAAGAACTTGAGGAATTCTGTAGTCAGCAAATATAGTCAGACTAGAAATGTCATCAAAAAAGCCATCTCCTTTGCCTTCTAATACACTCCATGTATCAGCCACAAGTATTTGGGCCCGTTTGTAGAAAGACACCTTTCTTTTCTGATGAAAGAGATTTACCAATTATTTAAGTGCCTGAAACATCAATACATACAACAAATTACATGTACAGAGAGAAACAGATGAGAGTTACACTGTTCTATCACTTGCTTAAGCAAGCATATGAGTTAACTGAAACAGAAGTGCACCACTCTTAAACACCTTAAAATCCAAGCAATATTGAACCACAAACAAGTATTGTGGAATGCTCATAAGTAAACTGAAAGAAAAACATAATAGAAATCACTGCAGTGAAATAAAAATTGTTTAGGTTCTGCTTGGATCTTGGAACACACCAATGTTGGTTTACTTCCACTTGGCAAAACACTGTAGTTGAAGTCCAGCAAACATTAATTCTTTCGGAAACCCTAGAGTTCATCCAACCTTTCATTCCGAGGAGAGAAGTGTAAAAGGCATGTATCAGATTAGACAATTAAAACATTTAATTTATCAATTTATCTGTTAAAGAAATAAAATTCTAGTGGAAACTTTTGTGAATGCTCCTCTGTGTTGTATAGTGTATCTTGCTAGCGAAAGATGAGAGAGGAAAATTAATTCCAGTAGAAGGTGTATTTACAAATGTGAGATTTTTCTTAGATACTATGCATGGTTCTATTTGTCAAACTTTTTCGCTAGTGCTAATCCTGTAAAGAATTACATAGTTTTATGACTATTCACTAGGAGAAGAACTAAAGCTATGCTATGATATGTAAGCTGCTGAGGTATTCACTCTATGAACACAGTGTGTGAATGTAAATCTGCATCTTTAAGAAAAAAGGCATTAGTAGGTTGTAAGTTTTTTCCTCCCTTTATATCTGGATGAGATTTTTGACTTTTGACAACATGTGCTAAACAATGATAGGTAACTGAAATGGCTAGTCTGAAATACAAGCAGGTGGGGAGTCAATTTACATTTTTTTTTTCCACCACCCTTCGTATCACCACAATTTACAAATGGAATTTTTTGCAATAATTTAATTTTATATTACTGCCAAGATGCTAAAACTATTCCTCAGAGCAAAGCACATTTTTTGTTGTTAAATGCTATTCTCCAAAACCACTTGAGAACAAGATGCCCAACTACGTTTCACAGCATAACTGCTAACATCCTGAAAACTCCTTCTTTCCCTGTGCTTCACTCTATACTTGACATAGATGCACAAACTTATTTCTACTGAACACACACAATTTTCTACGTTAAATAATAAAACACCACTTGAATCACAACAAGAAGTAAACAATTAATAGACCAAAACCCATCATAGCTCTTACTGCCCCAAAGCTAATGGAAACCAAGGACACTGCATTTTTAGATTCTTCCAATATAGTAAAGAACTGATCATTGCCAGCACCACACCATTTTGCAGGAGCAGAGGAAGGGAAAATTCAAATGGAACTTTTAATATCATGCTGCAATCTAATTTGGAAGAAAAATACTGTCTGGGACGTGTCACTGAGCAGGTGGATTTATAATGTAATTGTTTCAATTATTGTTAATTTTTACACTGCTCAGAGGTTCTGAGGTTTATGAAAAAATTTCAGCATGAGAAAGATTACTAAACATTTCTAGCAAATCTTCCCACCACCCTTTTCAACAGAAAGTAAGGAAAGCATTAGGTGAATGATACTACGTCTCAAAGATGGCATCTTTTGTCCAAAAATGGAATATTTTATCAGATGGCAATAGGACTACACTTTTTTTTTTTTCGTTTCACAACACCCTCACTTTTCAGGAAAACCTACCAAATATAGGCCCACTTGTGTCTCCTCTCCACTACAATAAGCCAGTATCAAGAGATTTAGCTAATTATGACCTATTGATAAGTAGTATTGCGTTGGCAAAGAGCAAAATGTGATAGCACAACTAGTAAAACAAAAAAAAAAAAAAAAAACCAAAACCAAAATAAAAACAAACAAACAAACAAGGGGATCATAAGAATTCCACAACCTCAGTCCCAGGTGATGGTAAATAAAATATAAATACACACAATGTTGATGACTGGAAGCTTGGAAAGGACTCCATTGTGTCTATGTCAGAACATGAGAACCCTGACGTTCAAGTGTAACATAGTAAAAAATGTAAACTTCTGTCAGGATTAAAATTCAGCACAGCATCTAAATATGAACTGTTCACCCAAGGACAACAAGGTTTCCAGGATTTTGGGTCTTGTTTGCAATTTAGTTTTCAAAAGCAAAAAAAAATTGACAATTTCTATAAACATTCAGTAATGTGTAATTATGAAAAATGTTTTGTGTATGTCTTTGGAAGAACATACAGCCAAAGAACTGTGTTAATTTTAGAAGTTCCCCTAGAACAACAGAATGTAGGAAAGAACATCGGAATGTAGGAAAGGAACGTAGTCTGTGACAGTATGATTATACTGTAGAATTTATTTTACAATCATATAAATTTCTACTATGGAGAGCTACCGAAAACCACTGGTTTGCTGCTGAGTATCTCATCATGTTTTCGGTTCTCTCCTAGCCCTTCACTGAAGGCAAAAATCTTGTGAGAGCTCAGACTGCTGTCATAGAAATTATGTTGATAATGGGATCCACATCACTTCACATCAGATGCCAAGACTGGTGGTTGTTTTTTTTTAAAAAAGTATGGTGTAAACTTAGTCTACATTATTTACCCACCTTCAAAATACCCATCTTGCTTAGTAAAAGCAGAAAAACAGCTTCCATACACATGCAGCAGGCTTTACTACTATGTCAGTGCTTACGGTCTGGGATAATTTTTGGAACATCTTTTCATTCTGTAGTCTGCTGCTGCTTTTAGGGAGCCTTGCTTTACACAAAGCACTCAGCATCATCTCATGAAAGACATTACGTCAATGAATACAGTCACTATAAAGATAAGAAAATACTCCATATGTCACTTGGAAAATATTTCCTTTTTGATAATAAAAATTGTCAAAAAAAATTACTTTATAGGTCAAAAATCCTAATAAATTAAACCAGTAGCTTCAAAGATCAGTTGTAAAGAACCTCAGATTTTTCATGCAAACATATCTTACTTCATAGCAGGAGACAAAGGAGAATAAAATCATGCCATCTACTGAAGGTCAGATTTAAGTGATAAATCCAATAGGTTCAGAGCTCCAGTTCTAGGGAGTTACCTTGAAGAGACTGCACAGGCTTTTAGTATATGCTACACTGTCACTCGAATAAAGTCTTTTGGACACAATGATGTAACGGCTGAGTACTACTGCAGATAGAAGTGGGCACAGGAGCAGCTACATATGTCACTGATGCTAAGCAGAGGTCATGCCTGTATAGGCAGAACCAGAGACACAGAAAATACCCGTTAGTCTCTGTTTACTTCTCACCAGTTTCATTTAGGGAAAAAAGCTCCAAAAAGCTTCACTATACTGTCAACACTGACAGAAGCATGGGTTACTTTTGGCCTACAGTCATTTGTGCAAGGCCTGTTGAATCAACAACACTTATACTGTTGATTCCCAGTAGTTGTAAATTTTCACAATTCCACTGGAGTTTAATTTCCTTCATTAGCTGCGGAGACCCTCAATGCAAAGGAAGAAAGAGAGATGGGGGAGGGTGTATGGTGGCAATTCAAGAAAAAAGTATTTGGGTTTTTCAGGCTGAAATTACCTCCAATATTATACATTTATAAGGAGTACAAAGGAGTCATGATTTAACTGGGAACTTGGAGTATATCAAAATAAATTACAACAAAGTGATGAAGACAGAGACAGCATATGACAAAAAATGGCCCTACTCTGGGGAGCCATTTCTGTCATTAGAAATACATTCCTGACTAGTTAAGGACTTGAGGCAATAAAGAGACTTTGTTAATAAATTGTACGATTTTCTTTTCAGAGGTTTAGACTGATAAAGAAATGAAATCTCAATAGTTTTACACCAGCTTAACAAAAAAAGTGTACCGTGGTCCAAGAATATTATTTAAAAAAAAAAAACCTCCTTCCCAATCTGTATGACTCATAGCAATTTACGTAACTAAGATCAACTGCTTCGAAGTCTGATTTTCCTTTCATGATACAAACCAGTATCTTCACTGATTTGAGGCAAAAATATTGAAATAATATTAATTTTTCTCCCTTCATTCCCTTGATTTTTACTTTTGAATACACTGAATTCCAGAGATATGTTTCTGATCAGCTTCCATTTCCCAGCTTAAAAGCCCCATCAATTCACAAATATTGGATCAATTCTGAACCGACTGTCCTCTCAGAAAAAATTACATAGACAAGCTAACAGCTGTGTTTTAAAGTCGCAGTCAGAAAGGAGTAAATTCTTATCATAAGAAACTCAAAGTTAGAACTGGCTTACCTCAAATACAGCTTCATCTCTGTAAGAAGGAAAGTTCTCCAGTACTAGGCGTAGTAGTTTCTGAGCACTTTTCTCACTCTTTTTAACACAGGTGAGGAAAGAGCCTCCAAACTTCTCTAACAGAACTGTTCCGCTTTCATTCAGCACCCGATGTCTTTCTTCAATCAAAGGTATAGGAACTTCTGTGTCAGAGCGAAATACATGCTTAACTTGGTCAAGCTTCATGGTGGCAAAATACGAGGCACTGGTAATAGGTATTCCTTCAGAAAAGTAAAAACGAAATGTTTAGGCTATCATAACATATCCCAAGACCTAATGCAGTGGCCTGCTATAGATGAAATAAGCATTTACACAGTAAGATCTAAGGAGTCTATTACCTCTTGCAATCACCCCAGTGTTCAGTGATAACTGCACTCACATAGCTGCTTAAAACTAAATTTGGGTTTGCACACAGTGCTTCTTTCTACAGATAATAATTTCCAACATGCAGCCGTAGAACTTTTCTTCTTTTTTTTATACGTAATTTTTCCCCAACAGCTTAGTCATCATCTTTGAACGTGGTGTTTACATAGTGCACTGGTCGATGTAGTTAGTATATGGTCAGCATAGTCCTGTTTTCCCTTAGCTCCGAACCACATCGTGCAACCGCAGCCATCACCTTAACGAAAACCTTCCCTTAGTTTACAAGCGTGTACGTAGGCAATTAATTAAAAGTTCCATCTATACCTACAAATAGATTTTTCTCGGATGACAGCAACGAGAGTGAGCGCTAAAATACTGGTTTGGGAGGCACATCGGTTTTCAGACTTACTGGAGCCGCTTTGGTACTAGAGGAACAGCTGAAGCCTCACTTTCTCCTTTGTCATGGAAATACGCAATTTATCTTAAAAACACACGTGAAACAACGGAAGTCACGAAGGGCTGACTAGAGACATTCCTTAAAAGTCTTCTGAACGGGAGAGCGATAACCCAGTCAGAGCCGCGAGCTCGCCGCTTCCAGCACGCGGCACCATTCGCGCACCGCCCGCCGCCCCCCGCGAAGCTCGGCGGGGCGGCCCGCACGCACACACGGGCTCGGCCGAAGAGCGACCGGCAGCTCGCACCAAGAGGGCTCCCGTTTCTGAGGCGGCTGCTTTACCGGACCCGCACTCCCCCGTTCCCGGTGCCCCCCCCCCACCCCCCCAACGCCCGGGGGGGGGGGGGGGGAGCCCGAGGCCGCCGCGCTCGGCAGCCCCGCGCCCCCGGCGCCTACTAACCGTCGTCAAGGGCCCGGTTGACGGCGGCACAGAGGGACCAGTAGCCGCTGTACGTTTTACCCTTGTACTTCACCCGGTACTTCTGCTCCTCCTGCTCCGACCAGAAGGAGAAGTTGAGGGTGTCCACCAGGAACACCCAGCCCACCGCCTCCTCGCTGGCGGCTCGGGGGTTCAGCTCGTGGAGGCTCTTCCACCCCGCCAGACCGAACTCCTCCGACAAGGTTTGGTCGAACAAACTCTCCGCCACCCGACGCGCTTCCTCCTCGTCCACGAAGACATCTCTGCTGTGGGCGGCTATGAACCTGGCGGACTCCAGGGGGCACGGGAACTCCATGCTCGGCCGCTTCTCTGGGTGCAAGCAAACACACACACACACACACACTCACGCCCTCTGAAGGCAGGCCGGGCGGGCGGGCGGCAGGCACCCCCCCTCCTCCCCCACCTTCCCCCGCGCACCTCACGCCGCCGCCCTCGCTCCTCACTTATCGCCTCCGCGGCCGCCCCTCAGGCCCCGCCCCGCGCAGGCGCGCCGCGCTCCGGCGCGAGCGGGCCCTACCGGGGCCGCCGCCGGTGCCCCGCCCCTCCACCCTCCACCCGCGGCCTCCCACGCAGCCGCTCCCCCGCGGGGAGGCAGCTTTTAAAGCCTTGCCCCCCGAGTGGGAGCCAGCGGCTCAGGTAAGGGCAGGCGCGGAGGCCCGCGGGAGGATGCGTGCTGAGCCCAAACCTGCGGGAGCGCCGCGGCCGCCCCCTGGCGCATCCGGAATCGTGGGTGGTTGCTGTGAGAAACGGCGCAAACACCCCACGCCCCCCAGAATCCTGCCAGGCTGGAGCAGCGAACACGCTCAACTTCTCGGTGAGGTGAAGTTTTCCGAAAGCTGCACATGGTTAAAAAAAAAAAAAAAAAAAAAAAAAAAAAGCAACACCAAACCCCCATCCCCCCACTGGCGGCACACGGGGAAGCCGGGCACGCGTGTTCAGCCCCGCGGGCGCTCAGCGCTGCGCAGGCACCAGCCCCCCACGCCCGCCCTCCGGGGGGGTGGCTGTGGCTCTGCCACGGCCGCCAGCTCCTTGCCTTTCCCATCGAACTTAGGAGCAGCTGCTCACTAGGACAGGAATTACCCCAAGCCATGGAAAAAAACCCCAAGTGAAATGTTCTACAACTCAAGGGGGGGGGGGGGGGGAAAGCCGCCCAAAAACACCACACACAACAAAACAACAAAAAACAGTGAAGAATCCATACTTAAGTCTGGACTCATATTCGTATATGCAGCAGACTTGCATTTTTCAACTTGTTTTTATTCAGGAAGTGAAATTAAAACTTGTAAACTATAAATAAAAATGCCGATGTATTACATGAGATATCCAGAGGCTTTATATTCTTTTTAATTTCTCACAAATAATTTCTAGGGAATTTAACATACAACAAGGAAACCAAACAAGTTTAAGTTTTGCATACAATGAAAAACAAATTACAGAGTTAGATACCGTCAATTTGCCAATCATAAGAATTTCTACCTCAAACAAATGAAAGCTCAGGAAACAACTATACTTCAGTAACGGTACAGCAACTGTCATTTCTAACAGTGTTATCTGCATTAAGCAAGCTGTCTATATAACCAGGTGTACTTTAACCACTGCTTTACTCAGTGACATCACGAAGTTTTAAAATGTTTTATTTATATACTGTCACCAATATATATGTACTGCAAAGAGGGCCAAACACTTGCAAAAATGTAATGTTTTACACAATGTCTGGATTAGTATTTTCTTCATTTTTTCCCCATATAGCACAGCAGTCATTGTTTTCACACAGTTTAATTGAAAAAAAGATAAAACCCAAGTCACATAAAATTTATTTATATTGAAGCAAAACAGCAAGCTTAAACAGAACTTTCATTTATGTGGTGGAAAAAAAATGAGTCTATCCATTTTAGGTATTAACCTAGGTCTATCTGAACAAAAATGACCAGCAAGAATAAGTTCACTAAATTTATTTAAAAACCATAGATGTTTCTTACAAAAGAGCATCACATTGTCACTGCTCTCAAAGAATGCCAGGGACATGTGGACTACCAGTTTTCCCCCTTCAAAAAAAAAAATACAGTGCACATAATAGCATGGTGTTCACAACAATTACAGAAAAACATTAAAATTTACCACCAACAATGAACAAAAATAAAATTCACTCTCTCTGCTGCTGCTTCAAAATGTCATTGTTAGTCTCGTGTGCCCTTTCCCTCCCCCCACGTATTTGTAAGGAACTAAAACATTACATCTGGTGGACAGCAAAGATTCCACTACACCTCAAATGCAGAACACCTATGAAGCAGAGGAATGTTGGCTTTTTAAACAGAAGCAGATTAAAAAAAAAAAAAAAAGGTGCAGGACTCCTTCAGTTCTTCACTAGGCTTAGAAAAACTTTCCAGAATACTGCTTCACACTATAAAAAAGAAAAAATAATCTTGCATTAGAATCCTTCAACATCTGCATACTGCTTCACACTATAAAAGAAAAAGAAAAAAGCATGTATTAGAATGATGGACCATACATCTTGCATCAACATTCATAATGACATTCTTAGAGCACATCAAATTACTAATTTTACAAATTACTCAATTCCTAATACATTTAAAAGTAAATAGTTTTAAAATATTAATGGCTAATAATTATAGCTATTATAAATTTATTTTAGGCGCATTTAAGTACTAGTCATCTAAAGCCAAACATTAAAAGTTAAAACGTTAAAATCTGCTATGACAGCCAACATGTTAATAAACCAAAACTATGCAAATTAAATCTGAAGCTGTTAGTATTTGGCAGAAAAGACAAAAGTAATGTCAGCAAGGTGTGAAATGCTGCATAACAGCACCAAATAGATTTCAACTTGTCCTGTAGAGGCATGGTCTGTGCCATATGGCAGACTGTGATTTGTTGTCAATTTAGTTATCTAAAAACAACAAAATCACTAGTCTTCCACACAGAACTAGGCCAACATCCACTGAAATCTTCTACATTTTCTACAGGCTCTATGTAATTTATTGCAAGTAGTTTTTTGCAGCAGTTTTCACCAGAGAAATGAGAGGACTAGTTGGTTAAGGCGTCTTCCAGCAAGATTAGTTTTGAGGGTGTCTTCATTTTAATTAGAATGGAAAACAGAAGAGAATCAAGGCAGAACTACAACTGGAGATGTTAGGTTCAAATAGTGACTTAAAACCTGCCTTCTAAAAACTGTATCACAGAGAAAAGCACCTTTAGAATGTACACGTCAGTTTAAAATTAAGAGTAGGAACAACATTAAACTTTAACTTGCCTGTTTTGCAGTAAATACTGTGCATTTTGTATCTGGTCCTGTGTTCCTGTAATAGTTATTATCCGATCTTCTGAGCCTTCTAATGGTTCATCAATTTTGATTGAAGCTCCTGACTCATGACGTATTTGTTTGATTCTCTGGCCTCCCTTTCCAATAATAGATCCTGCCAACTAGAGGAGAAAACAAGCATTCATTTCCTGATACAACTTTCTCTCTAAAATAAGTTACAAAAACCACAGCAGTGTTTGAGTAGCTTCCGTAAGTTTAGCTTTAAGAGCTGCAGTGGAAGCTTACTTCTTTACAGCCTCAAAACATCCCCTGCAATACTAATTGTATAAACACAGATGGGATAAAACTGTGAGAACCACTTGCTCATTTGCAAAAATAAGTTACATGGACCATCTCTATTACTGAATATTAACAATGCGTACAATTGTTTAGTGTGTCTCTACAGTGAAGATACAAAACAAATGCTTGAAGAATAGACTTTTGGTGATTCAGAAACATTTGTTTTATATTAGAAGTACTTATCAAACACCCCAGATACTTGTGATTTACCTACATAGTGAAACGGCTGTGACTCTTTCAATTAAGAGAAAACACAAGTTGAAAGCAAGTCAACTTTACTTACATCTTTGGGAATCGTTACTTGTGTTGTGATGATGGGTCCACCAAGATCTCCGTATGAACCACGCCCTCCTGCATAAGAATAGTCTGATTTAAACGTATGCATCAAGTCCTTTTATAACTACATAGTGAAGTACATGTAAAGGTTCTATATAAACACTTACCATATCCAGAGCCACCTTCAAACTGTAAGAGAAAGAGAAAAAAAACTTTAAATAGTTAATAGCCACACTTCATTAACGCATTTTCATCTTAAATATCATATTCTTGAACCTGAGTCTATTTTATGCAAATATCTCAATGCCCAACTTTACTGTAAATACAATAGTGTTGCAGCATCAAAAACAGAGGCAAAGATGGCAGACCATAAACAAAAGGGGTCGGTGGGGGAAATCTCATTAACCTCTTACCCTGCCCTGTCAAAACCTCTAGGAGTAAGGCATAAGATGACATAAAGGATCCACCTGTACCAAGCAGTCTCACTAACTCAGCTGCTGGTAGACAGCTCTTGATGCTGACCTACTTCTGACACTTGGACTAAACTAGTATTACTCAAATTAAAATTACGAATGCTACCAGTAGAGCTCATGGGAGACTCAAGTCTCCCATTTTGGGACAAGAAGTTTACTTTGTGACTGTCAACTCTCCCACTTCATCTACATCTTCAGGTAAAAAAGAAAAAGCTCTTAGGAATAGCTCTGTAACCTGTCTCTTGATTCAGACTATGATACAATCCTTTGTATCTTAGAACAGGTAATTATGACAGGAGTTACTTCTCTTCTGCTAAAACCACCACATACAGAATCTGAATCATTGCAACAAGCGCTCTTGGCCTCTTTATTTTCAGGATCTGTAGACCAATATTTGATATCAAGTGCTTCACTTCATCTAATGACTTCTAAGTGCAGAAGACCCCATTTTTATACTTTCCTATAGAAGCAGAGAATAAATATGCACTGTTTCACTGAATTTGACTTATGGGAGACTGCTTCTGGGGTGGCCTGTGTGAGAAGAGGCCAGCGGCTGCCCCTGTGCTGGACAAAGCCGGTCAAGTTCTAGCCAACACCAAAATGGAACCACTGCTGCCTAAAGCTGAGACCCTCAGCAAAGCTGGTAGCGTCTCTATGATAACATTTAAGAAAGGGTCAAAAAAAAAAATGTGTGTACCAGTTGAGAGAGATAAGCAAGAGAAGAAAAAGTGAGAGAAACAACCCTGCACACACTGTGGTGAAGAAGGAGGGGGTGCTCCCCATGCTGGGATGGAGATTCTCCGGCAGCCCACGGGAGAACCACACTGGAACAACCCGCCACGCTGCAGCCCATGGAGGATCCTATTTTGGGAGCAGGGAGATACTCCCTGAAGGAAGATGCAGGCCCCGTGGAGAGCCCACACAGTTGCAGGCACCTGGCAGGACCTGTGGCTGTGGGGGGCCCACACTGGAGCAGTCTGTTCGTGAAGGGCTGCACCCCATAAAGAGGACCCAGGCTAGAGCAGTTCTTGAAGAACTGCAGTCCGCTGGCAACACCCACACTTGAGCAGTTTGTGAACAACTGTATCCAATGGGAGGGACCCCACACTGGA